ATGGGTGGATGGGTGGATGGGTGGATGGGTGGATGGGTGGATGGATGGATGCTAGGATGGGTGGATGGATGGATGGATGGATGGGTGGGTGGGTGGATGGGCGGGTGGATGGATGGATGCCAGGATGGGTGGATGGATGGATGGATGGAGGAATGGATGGGTGGATGGGTAGATGGATGGATGGATGCCAGGATGGGTGGATGGATGGATGGATGGAGGAATGGATGGGTGGATGGGTAGATGGGTGGATGGAGGAATGGATGGATGGATGGGTGGATGGAGGAATGGATGGATGGATGGATGGGTGGATGAGTGGATGGAGGAATGGATGGATGGGTGGATGGGTGGGTGGGTGGATGGGTGGATGGGTGGATGCCAGGATGGGTGGATTGAAGGCACAGGAGCTTGAAAGCCAGAGTTGTGTGGGATTGCTCTGTGTAGCATGGCCTGGCACTGAGCAGGCCATTAAGGGGTCCAGTGCATGAATGGACTGGGTGAGTAGATGAATGGATGAGGAGTGGGTGGTTAGGTAAGTTGAGGGAGGCAGATGGTGAGTGAGTGGATGGATGGATGGATGGATGGATGGATGGATGGATGGATGGGTATATGGGTGGATGGATGGGTGGGTGGATGGATGGGTGGATGGGTGGATGGGTGGGTGGATGGGTGGGCGGATGGATGCCAGGATGGAGGAATGGATGGGTGGGTGGATGGGTGGATGGGTGGGTGGATGGATGGGTGGATGGGTGGGTGGATGGATGCCAGGATGGAGGAATGGATGGGTGGATGGGTAGGTAGGTGGATGGGTGAAATCATGAATACAATTTTGACAATGAAGGAAAGACTGGAAAATGTCCTCTCAGTCCTCCACTGTGGTCACCCACATTCACTCCCGTCCTATGTCTTGGATGGTATTTACAACCCCCCTAAGGGATCATATTCTGAGTGAGATAGCACAGTGATCTTGGATGTGGGGGTTGGGTTTGGTGATGAGTTGTGGGGAGGGTCAGGTCCTCACCAGCACCTCAGGAAGTGGGTGACCCCATCCACAGGACCCTCATACTGCCATGAGCACTCGTAGTGATCTGTGTTGAAGACCCGGTAGCAAGTGAGGTTCCTGGGGCCAGAGGAGGAACCTGGAAGAGGTTTATGGATGTCTGAGAACAGGCGTCATCTACACCCCTCCCTAACAAGAAAAGGCAACGGTGCTTTGAATCCCAGCACTCTGGAGGCAGAGGCAGGCAGATCTCTGTGAGTTCAAGGCCAGCCTGGTCTACATAGTGAGTTGCAGGCCAGCTGTGGCCACAGGGAGACCCTGTCTCAAAAAGACAAAAAAAAAAAAAAAAAAAAGGAGGAGGAGGCGGCTCAATGTTGTGACGTAACGCAGCACCCCTCTGTCCTACAGTCCACTCCCCTCATGATCTTCCTAGTGCTGCCAGCTCCCAGGCTCAACCCCTCAGGCTCCACCCCCTTTCTGGACCTCAAACTTAAACACCATTTCCCACCTCAGGGCCTTTGCACATGTTGGTTCTGCACTGTCCCTCCCCCCACTTTGTTTTTCAGTGTTGGGTATGAAACTCGAGGCCCAGCATACGCGCAGCAGCTCTCCTGGGAAAGGGGCACAATGCAGCACTGATCACTGCTTCTGTCTTTTGAGTCTCGTGTAATCTCATGGCCTCAACCTTACTGTGAACCCAAGGATGGCCATGAACTCCTGATCCTCCTGCCTCAGCCTCCTAAGTGCTGGGGTGACAGGTTTGTACTAAAGGGTGGTTACTTTTTTCAAAGTGAAATAATGACTCTTGGACCAGTCCTGTGGCAGTATTTTTGTGAATTTACCAATGCTCATGAGCATCCCCATGAGGGAAGGAGTGCAGCTTAGCAGGTGATTGTCCTAGACACTGGCCAGGCTAGATGACAGGGACATCAACCCTAAGACACTACTGCATGGGAGGTGGGGGAGTGCCCCGTGACACGGTGCCCAAAATGGATGGCTGGGGCCAGAGGGTGCAGGGGGCTCTGATGGGGCAGAAAGATGAGACAGTGGGTCCTGAAAACACAATCATACAGAGCCTGGTGGGGCTCTTGGGCCAGGCAGGGGCCGTTTCAGACCTGAGTCTTCATCCAGATAGGGCAGCTCTGCAAAACAGCACCTGTCAGCTGTGCAGGAGGCTGAAAGACAGTGAAAACGACAGCTCTGTTTAGTGGCAAGTAAAACTGGAAGTGCACAGCACTGCATCTGCCTCCCATCCACCCACCCATAACCCTCCACCCTCTCTCTCACCCACCCATCCATATATCCACCCACCCACCCACTCACCCATCCACCCACCTACCATCCACTCATCCACCATCCACCCACCCATGCATCCATCCACCCATCTACTCACCCATTCAACCATCTATCATCCATCCACTAATCTGCCCATCCAGCTGCCCATCCACCCATTCATCCACCATCCATCCATCCACCTATTCACCCACCCACTCACTCATCCACAGCCTTCGGTGTGAAGTGGAAGGCACCCCATTCCAGGGACTGCCATTAACCCTAGGTGCATATCAGAATTCCGGGGAAGAATTTGGCTTCCTGGATCCTGTGTTGAGGTAGCTGCACATAGGGGTCTCCCTGTGCTTCCTGTTCTGGTTGAAGACTGAAATCATCTTCCCCTCTACCATGCTGACCCCTCGGAAGGTGACCCTCCACAGGAACCTGGTTTCCACTGTGAGTCCTGTGGCACACGTGGCCCTGAAGGTCCCTCACCCCTTTGGTGTGGCAGCCCTGTTTCCTATCTTTGACTATGTTCCTTTATTCAAGCCAAAAGGAAGAGCCGGCATGCAGCTCCCCAACTTAGAGAGGACAGGTAGGACTGGGTTCCCGTGGACACCTGGGCTCCTTAGGAGCCCAGCCTGATCCAGAAGGCAGCCTAGAACCTACCTGTGCCTGTGCCTGTTTGAACCCTGCTGTTGCTAGCTGTGTGTGGAACATGTCACATTACAAATGCTTATGGTTTCTTTAGCTTTTTCTCATTCAACTGACATGTGGAAACCACTAGGCTCCTCCACAGAGGAAGAAAGCCAAAGGAGACCTGGGAACCATGACCACCAAGATCCCATTAACAGAAAGAGCAATGGAGCTGGTCCCAGCCCTGGAGCTCACAGCCCTCCATAGACCCCTCCCAAGAAGATGCAGGACTGGGACAAGTGGGGACTCACCACCCAGCCGGCCCAGCAGGAGGAGGATGAAGAGGTGCTGGCTGGTCTCTTGTAGCCCCATTGGATCCACGAGGAGCCTTGAGGGCAGCTCCTGTACCACCAAAGAGCCCCAGTCACCCTGTCCCCTCTCCGGAACAGGCTCAGGGGAAGAGGGGAAGGGTAATACAATCAAAATGGGGGAGGAGAAAAGAAAAAAGAAAAATGTCACAGTCTCCCAGGGCAAGTCAAAATGAAAGAGAAAGAGGAAGTCAGTGTGGAGGTGGTAGCCCTTGGGGCCACACACACTCACCTTGGGGTACATCAGGTCTCAGTCTGGAGATCTTTCTTTGGAAGACTTTTCTCTCTCTCTCTCTCTCTCTCTCTCTCTCTCTCTCTCTCTCTCTCTCTCTCTCTCTCTGCTTCAAACTTACTGTGTAGCTGAGGGTGACCTCCTGGGTACAGACAGGCATGTACCATTATGCTTGGTTATGTGGTACCTTGGATAGAAGCCAGGGCCTCTTGCATGTTAGGCCAACTGAGTTATAAGCACTCTACTAACTGAGCTGTAAGCACTCTACCAACTAAGTTGTAAACACTCTACCAACTGAGTCCCAGCTTTTCAGCTGCATTAAAAAAAATTATTATTTTTGTTTTATATGTATGAGTGTATCGCCTGCATGTATGTGAGTGCACCCGTGTCATGCAATGCCACAGAGCTCAGAAGAGGGCTTTGGATTCCCCTGGAACTGGAGTTAAGAACAGTTCATAGCCTCTATGTGAGTGCTGGGAATCTAATGAAGTCAGGTCCTCTGCAAGAGCAGTGAGTGCTTGTAGCTGCTGAGCCATCTCTCCAGCCCCTCGGCTGCATTTTTAAAAGTTTCCAGCACGGGCTGGAGAGATGGCTCAGCGGTTAAGAATACTGACTATTCTTGCAGAAGACCCGGGTTCGAATCCCAGCACCCACATGGCAGCTAACAACTGTCCATAACTCCAGTTCCAGGGGATCCGACAGCCTCTTCTGTCCTCTGCTGGCACTGCACAACACAGGTGCACTTACCTACATGCAGGCAATACGCACATACATATAAAATAAAAATAATAAATAAAAAAATTTTTTTTAAAAAGTTGCCTTTAATCCCAGCATTCAGGAGGCAGAGGCAGGTGGATCCTTGTGTGTTCAAGGCCAGCCTGGTCTACATAGTGAGTTCAGGTCAGCTGGGACTACAGGGAGAACCTGTCTCAAAAAGACAAAAAAAAAAAGAAGTTTCCAGCACTTGGGAGGCTGAGGCAGGGGGATGATCATGAGTGTGTGGAAGCCTCTGCTATGTAGAAGAACTGTTTCAAAAATATAAAAAGAAAAAAAGGCTACATGACTTTCTCTTCAAGGGAAGATGTTGGAGTCCTGGAGCACTGAGGGAAGCAGATGAGGCTGTTTGGCGGGGTTGGGCATCTGCGGAAACTGGGGCTTGTGTGGATGAGCCCAACACCAGCAGCTCAGAGATGGGCCCCTCCTTTGAAGAGCCAGGTCCCAGGGCAGCTGGGCTGGTTGAGGTCAAGTGTCCCGAAGGTGGTGAGGTCAGCGCCTGAGGACAAAGAGGCTGTGTCCAGGCCCTGGCACAGTGACACTCAGACCCCGTGACCCCACACAGACTCCAGTGGCACGGGAAGGGAGGGGGTGCTGGGGGAGGCGGGGGGAGGGGCAGATGGGGCAGACAGATGAGGAACAGAGACTCAGGCCAACAGATGACACACGCCTGTGACCCCACTACTCAGGAGGCTGTGGCAGGAGGATGGGCAGAAGTTCCAAGCCAGCCTAGGCAGCAGGTAAGGTAGTGGAAGATTATAGCACGTTCTAGGTAGAAGCCCTCTGATGGTCCCACACCCTTTGTTCCCAGACAGGTTTGACCCATTTCTTACAGGGGGAAACTGTGTCCGGGGGTCCCCAGTTGGAGACGAAGTGCCAGTGGTGACAAGCTTGGCCTCTTCTAGAACCTTCCTTATCTCTGCCAAGGTGGTTGTTCCTGCCTCAGTTTCCCCAGTGACTTGCCTGGGTGATTGTGCTCCAGGCTCTGGAGCACTCAGTGGTCGATGGTGGCTAGCAGTGCCATCGTCAGAGGGCCCTGCCTGACTCTGGGCATTAGGCAGCCATGGTGGGTGTGAGGGGGAGCACACACTGCACTCCGCTCTTCCCCTGTTGGGGTCACAGAGTGGCACCCTGAGCCCATCTCATTGCCTTCTCCAGGGCCACCTTAGGTGTTACCTGTCTTCTCTCCCCAGCTGCTGCCCACTCAGCCCATCCTGCCCCTCCCAGCTGCCTGCAAAACTCCGTTGAGATAAGCTCCCAGGGGTGCCCCACTTTCAGAAACACCACTGGCTGGGAGAGGACACAAGCAGGAAGGAACGGGTCACAGGGCCCGGAAACCCTGTCAGAAGAAACCGCGGAATGTCCTCACTGCACAGCTTTGGGGAAAGGAGGGAGTGAAGAGGGACCCAGCCTCCCTTCCTGTGCCTGAGACCCTGCACCCCAAAGAGCCCATAAAGACGGCGATGGAGGATGATTGTGAGCTGGGAAGACAAATGCCTCGTTTATTCAGCAAACACACTGTCCACACCATTTGTAAACAAGAACATGAAAAAATTTTTGATTTATTTAAAATATTTATTTGTGTATGCGTGTTTTGCCTGCTTGTATATAAGTGCACCATGCACATGCAATGCCCACAGAGTTCAGAAGAAGGTATCAGATTCCCTGGAAATGGAGTTATGAGTGGTTGTTAGCTGCCATGTGGGTGCTGGGAATCGAACTGGGTCCTCTGCAAGAGCACCCAGTGCTCTTAACCACTGAGCCATTTCTCCAGCACCTAGTTTTAGTTTTTAAAAAAAAATTTTAGTTATTATTTTTATTCTATGTGTATGCCCGTATTGCCTGAGTGTAGGTAAGTGCACCCATGTTGTGCAATGCTCGCAGAAGTCAGAAGAGGCTGTTGGATCCCCTGGAACTGGAGTTAAGGAGAGTTGTTAGCTGCCATGTGGGTTCTGGGATTTGAACCCAGGTCTTCTGCAAGAACAACCAGTGTTCTTAACTGCTGGCCATCTCTCCAGCCCCCTAGTTTTAGCTTTTTGAGACAGGGTTTCTTGAGCCCAGACTGGCCTAGAACTCCCTATGTAGCAGAAACTGACCTTGAACTTCTACTGGAGGACAGGTGTGCCCTTCACGGTTGGCAGAAGGGTGTTCATAGCAGGACATGAGCCCCGAGTCCATGATGTGATCAAAGTACAGACCCACACGGCTCATGTACGGCAGATGCTAGATGGAACACACATATGGTTTAACTAGAATTCCCATAGGCGAGTATTTGGCATAACCTCACCCTGTTTACTGCAGGGATCTAAGCCGTTGACTGTGAGTATATTCATTGTTTGTTGGCATTGTTTGTTGGGTGGATGCTTTGGAAACAATCTGCCAGGTTTGTCATCATGTGAAACAGAGCTAACATATGGCCCTGAAAGTCCACATGCAGGTACACACACAAGACAACTGAAAGCATATGTCAGAAAAGAAATTCCTTACACCTGAGCATGCACAGTAGCTATCTCGGAATAGTTGGGAAAAAAACAAAACAAAAAAAAACCGTTCATCTATCTATAGCTAGGTAAGTTAGTGTGGTTCACTGGGGGTGGAATATTACTCAACAGTGAAAAGGAATGCAGCTCTGACATATGCCACAGCATGGATGAACTGTGAAAAGCCACATGGATGGCAAGTGACAGCTGGGGACAGGGCTCTTCTGGGGAGTGATAACATCAACATAATTCTACAAACATGCTAAAAAGACTCTCAGTCATCCATTTTATCTTGTTTTGTTTTAAGACAGTCTCTCTTATAGCTCAGGTTGGCCTGGAACTCTCTATGTAGCCAAGGATGACCCTGAACTCCTGATCCTCCTGCCTCTATCTGTGGAGCACTGGGATGACAACATGCACCACCACATCTGGTTTATAAGGTGCTGGGCATGAACCCAAGTCTTCGTGCATGCTAGGCAAGCACTCTACAGACTAAGCCCAACTCTATTCATTCATTCATTCATTCATACATTCATTTTTGAGGCGGAGTCTCCCTTTGTAGCTTAAGTTGCCCTGGAACTCAAGATCCTCCTGCTTCAGCCTCCCAAGTGCTGGGATGCCAGACCTGTATTTATTTATTTATTTATTTATTTATTTATTTATTTATTTATTTTTGGTCTTTTTGAGACCCCAGCTGGCCTGGGACTCACTATATAGACCACGCTGGTGGCTTTGACCCCCAAGAACCCCCCCTGCCTCTGCCTCCCCAGTGCTGGGATTAAAGGCGTGCGCCACCACACCCGGCCAAACATTTTTTTTTTTAGTTAGTATAATTGGGTTGGGGAGTGGCTCCATGTTGGAGGGCTTACCTAATGTGAGTGAGGTGCCGGGTTCCATGCATGCCCAGCAAAGCGGAAAAAAAGATGTAACAATTCACAGTTCTAGAGACGTGGCTTGGCTGGTGGAACACTTGCCTAGCATGCACAAAGCCCTGGGTTGAATCCCAGCACCATGCCAATTGGAGCATGGTGGCGCTGGCTTGGCATCCAGCACTTGGAAGTGGGGATAGGAGGAGCAAAAGTTCATGGTCCTCCTCAGCTACATAGGGACTTTGAGGCCAGTCTGGGCCACATCAGACGGTATCTAGAAAAAAAATTTTTTTTTTTTGTCTTTTTGAGACCGGGTCTCCCTGTAACCCCAGCTGTCCTGGAACTCGCTATGTAGACCAGGCTGGCCTCGAAATCACAGAGATCCGCCTGCCTCTGCCTCCCAAATGCTGGGATTAAAGGCGTGCGCCACCACGTCCGGCTAGAAATTTTTTTAATACATAAGTAAGGGAACTGGAGAGACGGCTCAGCGGTTAAGAGCACTGGCTGTTCTTGCAGAGGACCTGGGTTTGGTTCCCAGCACCCACCTGGCTAACAACCGTCCATAACTCCAGTTCCGGGGGAACTGACACCCTCTTCTGACCTCTGCGGGCACTGCATGACACCGGTACACTTACATACATGCAGGCAAAAATATTCATGCACATAAAATAAAATAAAGAGGTTTAATACATGCATAAGTAAATAAAAATAACTTTTTCTTGAAAGCTGAGTTTTGGGGAGTTCCTTCAGTTTTGCATTGAGGTGCGCGCCGCCCCGCTATGCCAGCTTGTGGCTTAACCTCTCTGAGCTTCCTTTTCGGAATGTGCCAGAAGTTGAAGAAGGCTAGCGGGCTGAGTTGCAGAACAACTGCCAATTCTGCGGACCCACTACAGCCTGAAAGGGCGGGGTCAGAGGTGGGCCGAGCCATACAAGCGCCATCTGACCGGCCTGGCCAATGGCGTGCGGGGGGCGGGCCCGAGACGGGGCAGGGCCGGGCGGAGGCGGGGCCAGAGGCGCGGACTCTCCAGCGATGGACGAACCGAGCCTCCTGCGGCGCCGAGGGCTCCAGGTGAGGCCGGAGTGCGGGTGCCGGCGCGTCCTGCGGGGTGGGGAAACTGAGGCAGGGCGAGGCGGTCCGGAAGCGGGAGTCAGGTCCAGCCCGCTGCCCACCCGCTTCTCACAGAGTGGTGCACCGGATGGGAAGGGAGAGGTCCCCGTTGGACACATGGGGAAAATGAGGCTGGGGGACCATCCCCTGATCCCGAGTCTGTGTACCTAGCGCCCACCGCGTTACCGGGGACCCCAGAGAGGGACTCAGCCCGGCCACTTGCCTGGGCGCCGCTAGCGGTTAGTTCCTGCCTCCGGTCCCTTCTACAGATGAACAAACTGAGGCTCAGGCCAGGGATCGCAACTCTCCGCGGCTGCCCGGCTGCAAGTCCACTTCTTCCCAGGGTTACAGACTCCGGTGTGGTAACTGGGGAACCGCAGGGGTGCAGGTAGCTTCTCCCAGCCTGTTTCCCGGTTTACCCCGTTTGCGCCATGGCGAAGCAAGGACCCGAGTGTCGGGGTTGCAAAAGGCCGATTCTACCGCACCCTCCGGCTGAGGACTCTGAGTGGGTCCTCTGATCCCCTGGTCCTCGGTTTCCCGCGTCTGCAAGCCGGGAAACGACGTTTTCCTGGTTAGCTCTGAGGCTCCATCCACACGCACAAGCTGCCCACAGGTTCGCGGATGGGAACCTAGGGTCCTTGGTTTTACCGGGCATCTATTGAGTACCTACTGTGTGCGTGGCCTGCCTTAGGCTAAAGGAGGTGGCTGGTCACCCCTGGGCACCGCGGGTGGCGGTGGCGCCTGACCCGGCATTGCTAGGTGACCCCTACCCCTGCCGCCTCAGGAGGCGGCTGCGGGCGGCGGGGCACAGGGCTGGGGTGTTTGGGGAAGTGAGAAAGTTTAAGTTAGCTTCTTGGAGTACAAGGCGCGAGTGGGGCGGGGCGGGACCGGCAGGTCCCCACCCTCAACGGCCCAGGGTAAGAAGGAGCCAGGGAAGGCTGGGGAGAGGGCAGCGCCACAGGTCAGACACCCCCACCTCCCAGGGAGAGGGGGGGACCCTCGTGGCAAGGACACAGGCCAGAGGTTGAGTGGGGGTCCTCCGGGCAGAAGGCTGGGGGCGGGGCTGGTGAGCAGTGTTGGGGGGCAGGTTTCGCCTGGAGCCCCAGTTAGATGCGAGCCCGCCCTCGGCCTCTTAAAATAGAGACACCGCCTCCGGGTGAGCAAATGGGGGCGCTGCTGACGTCAACAAGCTGGGGCCTGCTCCTCGTGGGGGGTAAATATTGCCAGATGACAGGTCCCACCTTACACATGGAGAAACTGAGGCCCACCTTTAATCCCAGTACTTGGGAAGCTGAGGCAGGATGATCTTGGATAACATGAGACCCTGTCTAAAAAGAAACAAACAAAAATAAAACTTGCTAAAATCCCTGCTTTGTTTAGGACTGGAGACTGAGAAAGATGGTGGTTTGATGGTTTTCAATAAGCTAAGCTTTGGGGCCAGTGAGATGGTTCAGTGGGAAAGGCGCTTGCTGCCAAGACTGCCAACCTGAATTCACTCCCCAGTACATACATGATGGAGGGAGAGAACTGACTTTTGCAGGTTATTCTCTGATTTGCATACGAGGCACGAGCATTCCCATACACAATAAATTATTGCATAAATAAACGTTAAAACAAAACAAAACTTTCATCCCAGGACAAAGGGGGCAGGTTGTGGCAGGTGCTAGGATAGTGGGGAACTGCTCAAAGTGAGAGAGAAGGGGACAGGAAGTTGTGAAAGATAATATTAATAATACTATTATAGAGCCCAGGGTGGTACTGCACACCTGTGATCGGATCCTGGCCCCTTATTTTTTGGCCTAAAAATTGGCTAAAGTCAAGGATTTTGAGTTGAAATCAGGATCCTCAACTCCCTTACCAGGTGAGTACCTTAACCAATCAGGGGGCAGGCTGCCTGTGCCTGCCAATTGGAGTACCTAGAGGCTGGACCTCGTTGGAGGATTGGCTCCTGCACACAGTGGCCAGGCTGTCCTGGACAATAAGGCTGTGCTGTGTTGTTTACTACAGTAGCCGGGGATCAGCACTGGAGGTGGAATCTGGTTCTTCCTAGTTTAAATTTAAACTCAGTCATTGTTGTTTTTTGAGACAGTATCTCATATAGCCCAGATGGCCTCAAACTCACTATGTAGCTGAGCATGACTTTGAACTCCTGATCCTCCTACCCCCACCTCTTGAGTGCTGGGATGATAGGATGCACTACCACAACTGGTTTATGTGGTGCTGGGGATGGAACCAACCCAGGGCCTCACCAATGCTCAGTGAGCACTGTAACATCTTGGAGACAGGGTCTCCAGGCTGGCCCTGAACTGGCAATCCTCCTGCCTCAGTCTCTAGAGTAGCCCTCTCATGCACATGCAAAGGTCCATTCTGGGGTGACTGCTTCCCTTCCCCAGGTCCACTTAGCCCCCTCCTCCAGGAAACCCGCAGGTGGGATCCCGACAATGGTAATGGTACACACCTGCCATCCTAGCAGTTGGGAAGCTGAGGCAGAAGGCTTGCCTTGAGTTTAAGGTCAGCCTGAGCTCCACAGTGAGTTTGAGGGTAGCTATAGCTACAGAGGGAGATCCTGCCTCGAAACAAAACCCAAACAGTCAGGTGACTTCTGAAGGTAGACTGTGTGGTCCCAGTGGGCTCCAAGCCCTGCTTGCAGTCAGGGAAGCTAGCGTCGGTGCCAGTCCGTCTGCGTTCTAAAAGGGGTTTCCAACCCCAGCCCTGCTACAAAGTCGAGTCTGCAGCCTGCTGGCCTTGTCAGATGCCTCCCAGCCCTAGGAAACCCCTGGCTCCCATGCCTTGGTGCCTTGAATTCTTCCTAATTCTTCCATAATGAGGCTCTATACCCTGTTCTTGGCCCTCCAAATTGGGGGAATCTTCAGGCTGGGGCTGAAACTTGGGAGGCTGACCCTCACCCCAAACCATGCAGAGCCCCTACAGCTTCATTTAAAGATTTTGTCTTTTTTTTTTTTTTTGGTCTTTTTGAGACCGGGTCTCCCTGTAGCCCCAGCTGTCCTGGAACTCACTATGTAGACCAGGCTGGCCTCAAACTCACAGAGATCCACCTACTTCTGCCTTCCAAGTGCTGGGATTAAAGGCATGCACCACCACGCTCAGCCTTATTTGTCTTTTTAAAACAGGGTCTCCCTGTAGTCCAAGCTGGTGGGACTTGCTTATGTAGACCAAGTTGGCCTTGAACTTCCTCCTGTCTCTGTCTCCCAAGTGCTAGGATTAAAGGCATCTGCCACCCTGCCCAGCTCCTAAAAATTTTATTTTTAGTTAATGTGTATATATATATATATATATAATATATATATATATATGTGTGTGTGTGTGTGTGTGTGTGTGTGTGTGTAGGTTTGTGCAAATGACTGCAGTGCCCCAAGAGACCAGAAGAGGGCACCAGATCTCCAGGAGCTGGAGTTACAGGTGTTTGTGAGCCGCTTAATGTAGGTGCTGGGAACCAAACTCAGTCCTCTAGAAGAGTAGTATGCTACATTTAAAAGGCAGACCCTGGGCTGTGTTGTAGCTCTGATTGTAGCTCAGTTGGTAGACTGTTCACCTAGCATGCACAAAGCCCTGTGGTGGTGGCTCATGCCTGACATCCCATCACTCAAGTGGTGAAGGGTGGTAGGATCATGAATTCATCCTCAGCTACTTGGTGAATGGGAGACCAGCCTGGGCTACAGGAGGCCCTGTCTCAACAACAATAAATAAGTAAATAAATAAGTAAATAGCTGTCCCAAGGGAGAAAGTGGGTGCAGCACAAAACTCTGGAGGCTGAGGCAGCAGGTTGGTGAGTCCCGGGCTAGCAGCCTTCTCTGCAGAGAGACCCCGGGAGAATTAGCAGCCAGGAGCTTGGAAGTTGCTGTGGGAGCAGCTGGCGAGGGGGCTGCTCGAAAGCAGATGGTGCGGGGACGTCGAGGGTCGCGTGGGCCGGCTTTGCTTGGTCCCCTTCCGGGAGCTTTCCCAGCGTCCCTCCACTCTCTCTGCCACTTGGCATCTCTTTGGATTCTGGCACAGACAAGTTAGGCTGCTTGGTGAAATCACACAGCAAGGCTACCAGACTGTCAGGATTTTTTGATGGGGGACCAAGCTAGTCCCCCTTAGTTTAGGCTGGGTCTGGGGGAGCTGTGTAAGGTCCCCCCAGGAGTGGACAGGCTGATGGTGTGGCTGGGGTTTCCAGCTTGGGGCCCGCAGAAAGTTACTGAGCTCCCTGTTCACGGAAGTATTCAAGCCCAGGGGAGACCTGGGGTAGTAGGCGCTCACCTTCCTCCTGGAGGCTCTCTCCAGCACAGGGAAGCCGTGGGTCTCCCCTGCCTTTCCCCTCCTCCCCTACAGGGACCTCGGGCCAATCCGCTCCAGCAGAATGGTCCAGCACTTTTCGGCCCCCTCCAGTTGGCTGGGGGGGGGTGGGTGACGCCATTAGTTGCCATGGTGAACACCCTCACCCAGACGTGGGTAACCTGCAACCCACCACAGTAAAAATAGTCTTGTTTCTCCAAAGCAGCCACCCTGATGTGTGCGTGTGTGTGTGTGTGTGTGTGTGTGTGTGTGTGCGTGTGTGTGTGTGTATTGGCCTGGGGGCATCATGCAAGCCAGTTTCGCAGCTCTCCCTCTCCCACTCCAGCCGTGCCTCAGTTTACTGGCCTGTATAATAGACACTCAATAAATGTGAGGGATAATTGTGCCAGTGTCTGCTTAGACAGCTGCTGAAGTGAACAGTTACCCCCAGTATACAGCAGCAGTCATGTCCCTCATTATTAGCCCTACCTTCTGATGGCATCTCCACCTTGCAGATGGGGAAACTGAAGCATTGGAGTTACAGACAGCCGCCATGGGTCCTCTGTAAGAATAGCCAATTATCTTGCTGGGTATGGTGGTGCACACCTATAGTCCCAGCACTTGGGAGGCAGAGGCAGGCAGATCTCTGTGAGTTCAAGACCAGTTGGGGCTACAGAGAGACCCTGTCTCAAAAAAAAAAAAAAAAAAAAAAAAAGAAAAAGAAAAGAATAGCCAATGCTCTTAATGGATGGGCCCCCAAAAAAGTTTATTTTAAAAACAAAGAGCCAGGTGTGCATGGTGGCACATGCCTTTAGTTGCAGCACTCAGGGAGGCAGAGGCAGGCAGATCTCTGTTGAGTTCAAGGCCAGCCTGGTTTACATAGTGAGTTCCAGGCCAGCTGGGGATACAGGGAGACCCCATCTCAAAAAGACAAAAAAAAAAAAAAGTTACCTAAGTGTCCTCACCTCTGAGTAGACCTTCATAGGCTCTGGGAGTGTTGGGGTTAGGGTTGGGTGCTGAGATGACAGGTGTGTGCCACCATGTCTGGCACATTATTTATTGTGAATTTTTTTTTTTTTTTTGAGACAGGGTCTCCCTGTAGCCTCAGCTAGCCTAGAACTCACTTATGTAGACCAGGCTGGCCTCAAACTCACAGAGATCACCTGCCTCTGCCTCCCAAGTGCTGGGATTAAAGGCCTTCGTGCCTGTCTTAATTTTGTTTTTTGAAAGGAGTCTCCCTCTGTGGTCCAGCTAGCTGGGAACTCAACATCCTCCTCCCAAGTGCTAAGATGACAGGAGGGGGCCATCATGACTGGCTTCTTTGCTATTTCATTTTAATTACTTTTATTACATTTATTTAGTTATCATGTGTACATGTGTGTACGTGCATGTGTGTATATGCATGTATATGTGACGGTCAGAGGATGACTTTGGGGAGTCAGTTCTCCTTCTACCATATACATTCTGGGGATCAAACTCATGGTCCTGGGTTCAAACTCATGCGTCAGTCTTGGCAGCAAGCACGTTTACCTGTTGAGCCATCTTGTTAGCCCTTTTGGTTTTGGGGTTTTTTGGGGGGTCTTTTTGAGACAGGGTCTCCCTGTAGCCCCAGCTGTCCTGGAACTCACTATGTAGACCAGGCTGGCCTTGAACTCACAGAGATCTACCTGCCTCTGCCTCCCGAGTGCTGGGATTAAAGGCGTGCGCCACCATGCCCAGCCTCTATTTGTTATTTTAAATACCATTATTTTTATTATTTAAAAAAATTTTTTTTTGGTCTTTTTGAAGTAGGGTCTCCCTGTAGCCCCAGCTGTCCTGGAACTCACTATGTAGACCAAGCTGGCCCTGAACTCACAGAGATCCACCTGTCTCTGCCTCCCAAGTGCTGGGACTACAGGCGTATGCCACCATGCCCGGCTTATTTTTAAAAATATTTTATTTATTATTTTTATTTTATGTGTATGAGTGTATTGCCTGGATGTATGTGAGTGCACTTGTGTCATGCAATGCTGTGGAGGTCAGAAGAGGGCTTCGGATTCCCCTGGAACTGGAGTTAAGGACGGTTTGTAGCCATCGTGTGAGTGTTGGGAATTGAACCTGGGTCCTCTGCAAGAGCAGTCGGTGCTCTTAACCACTGAGCCATCTCTCCAGCCCCTTATTATTATTTTTAAATCTTTTTGAGACAGAGTCTCCCTGTAGACCGGGCTGGCCTTGAACTCACAGGGATCTGCCTGCCTCTGCCTCCCCAGTGCTGGGATTAAAGGTATGTGCCACTACACTGGCTAAATACCATTATTATTTTAAGGTGACAGATAATATTCTCAGTCATAAAACACATGGCAGTCAGCACAACAGGAAATAAAACTGCAATGCCCTCAGAGGACAGAAGAGGCTGTCAGATCCCCTGGAACTAGAGTTACAGACAGTTGTTAGCTGCCATGTGGGTGCTGGGATTCGAACCCGGGTCTTCTGCAAGAACAGTGTTCTTATCCACTGAGCCATGTCTCCAGCCCCATTTTTTTTTTAAATGCTAGGAGGGTCAGGTACTGGGCTGGTCAGCATCTTGGGAGCCTAGGGAAGATTTTTATTCCAGAGGGGGCTAGGGAATAAACTTGTGTTCATAGACCAGAAACCATGAGAGACCAGGTACAGAAGGCCGGGGGGAGAGGCCTTGAGGGAGGGGAGTATGTGGTGCAGCAGGAGCCAGTGAGAAGCTCGTGATGAAGGAGCTGACTGATTTGAGGATTTCAAAGACTTCCTGGATTGACCCCCACTTTTTTTGTTTCTTTTCAGAAGGAGCTGAGCCTGCCACGCCGGGGCCGGGGGTAAGTAGCTAGGGGCTGGTGGGCTGGTCTGGTCCTGGATGCTGAACTTTAACTTATTTAATGATTACTACAAAATTCTTTTTTCTTGATCCATTTTCATGGGGGGTGGTGAGTATATTCAGAGACCTATGTTGCTGTCCAGAATCATCCTCCATCGCTCTTCCACCGTGATTTTTGAGGCAGGGTCTCTCAGTCAAAACCAGAACTCTGGGATATGATAAAGTTGGTCTCCCTTGCCAGCTTCCTCTGGGGTTCCCTGTCTCCCCCTTCTGAGGCTGCAATTACAGGCATGATTCCATGCCCATGCCACATTTATGTGGGTTCTAGGAATCCAAACTCTCATCCTCACACTTAAGAGGTTCAGGCACTTTAACCACTTCTGAGCTCCTCCCCTCCCCCCAAACCCTCCTTAAGGAACTCTATCTTAAGCTGGTGCAGTGGTACAGGCCTGTGATCCCAGTACTGGGGAGGTTGAGGCTGGAGGATTGTGAGTTCCAGGCCAGCCTGGGTCATAAAGCAAGGTTCTATCTCAAAAACAACAATGGCTGGGGGTATAACTGCACTGTAGAGGCTTACAGAAAAACTGTGCTCTTTGGCTGACAATATGGCTCAGCAGAAGAGGCCTGCCGCCAAGCTTAACCCATCCCCTCCGACACATGGTGGAAGGAGAGACCCCTGAAATTACTTTCCTCTGATATATGTGTCAGGCATGCCTCCCCTTCCACTTTACTAAATAAATGAATGTGAAAAGAATTATATCCTTAGCACTTAAAAAAAAAGAAAGAAAGAAAAGAAAAGAAAAAATGTGATACACTGTACCCTTAGTACCTTGGAGCCAGCTTGCATGTCCGGATTCCAGGGAGCTCACTGCCTGTCGGCCAACGCCAACAAAATGGCTGGCACTGACATTCCTGTAGGCTGGCTTCTGGTGAGTTCAAAAGCTCACTAGAACGTCGTGTTCGAGGAATCCTAGGTTTACAGATGAATAAACAAAGCCTGGGGGCATGGCACGGTTTACATTAGTTTGTGTTGTGAAAATAAACAGCTGTGGATGTCCCGTCTTTGCGGGTTGAGAACCTCCATGGTTTTTGGAGCACCTGCGACATGAGAGGGGGGCCTGTGAAACAGGCCAGGTGCGGTGGCGCACACCTTTAATCCTAGCAGTCGAGGCAAAGTCAGGCAGATCTTTGTGAGATTGAGGCCAGCCTGGTATACAAAGCTAGAACTTGTCTCAAAACAAAACAAACAAACCCAGAAAGAGATGGGAGCTGGGGGCCATTTGGAGGAGACCTGACCATGAGTTTGGATCTTGGAGAGGAGAAGCTAGGGGACATCAGTGTACAGAGAGGAACCTGCGTGGGCAAAGGTCCTGCGGTAGAACCTGCCTTGGCATTGGAGAGCGGCGTCGCCGGTTGGGGGTGGAGAAGCAGATACCGGTTCTCAGCTTGGGGTCACAGCTGGTAGCTGGCGGGCAGAGGAGGGACCGGACCTTGCCCAGAGCACGCAGTGCCAACCCAGGCGGGAGGGTAAAGTACCTGGCCAGAGTCCCAGGGGACCTGCCACCCCTGACACCTGTCCCACTTCACTCGTCCTAGGCTGCCCCAGATCTGCGGGAGAAGACGCTCGATCGGGAGGCCGGGGAGGGAGGGAAGTCCCCAGGTGGGAGGCCCCAGGGTAGGTCTCGGCGCCGCAGGGACCTAGGCCGCCTTCCCTTCCGACGCGCAGTTGCGGCGGCGGTTCGCTGTCTCAGCATCCAGCAAGGCCAGCGCGCAGCCTGCCGGCTCACAAAGCAGGGCCGGGATCCGAGTGCGCGGGTCAGTCCACCGACCCCGAGTCCCGCTCTGTCGCGAGAAGCCCCGCCCCATCCTCGCACTCCATGGCCCCTGACATCCCCGCCTCCGCCAGGCCCAGGTCCTAGCAGGGACTTCCTGAGGCCGCACCCCCTAGTTCAACCCTGGAGGCCCCGCCCGCCGTCGCGAAGGCGCCCTCCACCTACTGTCCGCTGCCGTCCGTAGGCCCCGCCCGGGCGGTGGAGAGCCCTTCCATTGGCACCGCCCCATGGGCCGGGAGCCACGCCCCACGTCCTGAGGTCCCGCCCTCGCTCGGTGGAAGCCCCGCCCTTCCTCCTGAGGCCCGCACTCTTGAGAGTCCCCTTTTCCGCTCTAGAAACCTCTCAAAAACACCAACCCCACCCCAAAACCCGCCCCGCGTTCCTTGGCACCGCGTGCGCGCTCCGGAAGACCCGCCCCGATTTCCCTAGCACCGCCCCGAATTCCGAAAACTCCGCCCTTCGTTCTTTGGCACCGCCCCCGAGCCCTGGAAGCCCGCCCCGCAGCCAGGCCCTAGATCGCGGGAAGCCCACCCGGCGTTCCCTGCCTCCAGCTCCAGAAGCCCCTAACTGTGTTCTATAGTCCCGCCCCAAGAACCCGCCCCGAGGTTCTTAGCCCCGCCTTCCAGCCCCCCAAACTCCGCCCTACGCTCTTGGCACTTAGACCCGCCCCGTGTTTTGTTTTTTTTTTGTCTTTTTGAGACAGGGTCTCCCTGTAGCCCCAGCTGACCTGGAACTCACTATGTAGACCAGGCTGGCCTTGAACTCACAGAGATCCGCCTGCCTCTGCCTCCCGAGTCCTGGGACTACTGGCATGGGCCCCCACGCCCGGCCTTGCCGCCCCGTGTTATTTAGCCCCGCCTCGAGCTCTGGAAATCCCGCCCTGAGTTCCTTAGCACCGCCCCCGAGCAGGGAGGCCCCGCCCTACGATTTTTAGCCCCGCTCCGAGGCTCCTCCCCCGCCCGCCGCTCCCGCGTTCGCGTCCCTCGGTCTCTCAGTCCAGCTTGTCTGGTTGTCTCGGTGCCGCCGCCATGAAGTCCCGCAGGGAGAAGCTGCTGATCCCTGCGCTGACACTCGAGTGAGTACCGAGGCCTCCATGCCTCCCCGGGGTGCCCGCCAGGGTCACGCAGGGTCGCCGCGGGGTCACCGCCCGCCTCTGTCTTGCAGTCTGTCGCCGAGCAGTCAGAGCCCGTCCCTGCTGAGCCCCGGCAGCCCGTGCAGCCCGTGCAGCCCGTCGCTGGGCCTGCAGCCCTGGAGGTGAGTGACGGCTCCGCCTGCACACGCGCCCCGCGCCGGGTCTTTGCACACGGCCGTCCCCCCCTCGGGTCTTTGCGCACCAAGCTGTTCTCTCCAGTCGTCAGTATCCACCCTGGTCCTGGCCCCGGGCCCCGAATGCGAACATTCCAGCTGAAAGCCTGGAGCTGGGACAGGTGGCCAAGGCGAGGCCAGAACTTGAGCCCAAGGACTCCCCTGAGACAGGTGCTGGATTCCCAGGGCCCTGCGGAGCTGTGACCTCGGGACCCGCCGGAAACTCCTCCCTCTGGTCACACATTCACACACAGTGAAAACAGGCAGCCCCACGGAGGGCCAGGTCTGCCTTGACCTGGTTTCCAGCTGAGGAAACTGAGGCTCAGAGACAGGCTTGTTCTGACTCCCTATGACTGGGGGCCACGTTGGCTACCCTCTTGACTACTGGACAGGTCTCAGTATTACTCCAGGAGTAAGATACAGGGAAAACTGTGTTGCAACCATTCTCACTGTAGTATGAACAAGCCACTCAGTACATTGCATAGATTATTGAATGGAGAAGAGGCAGAACACTGTGGAGTGCCAGACAACAGATTCACACTGTGAGGCAGGTGCGGAATCTAGAGATGTGAAGGTTCTCACTTGGCTAGAGGGTAATTGAAGATGTGGACAGAGCTGCTGGAAGCTTGGCAGGAGGCAGCAAAGGGCCTTAGGGGGGTGGAAGGAGGGACTGGGGTGACTGCAGCAGTCACAGGTGGCTAGGGGACACCTGTTTGTCCAGTGGAAGGCAGGGACTGCTGTCACCTACTTACTGGAGGAGTGGATGGAGGGGCACTCTAGGAGGGGTGCCCAGAGGATCTGCCTGCCTCTGCCTCCTGAGTGCTGGGACTAAAGGCGTGCCCCAGAACACCCAGCTTTATTTGTGTGTTTTTGTTTTTTTTTTGCCTTTTTGAGACAGGGTCTCCCTGTATCCCCAGCTGTCCTGAAACTCACTATGTAGAGTAGGCTGGCCTCGAACTCACAAAGATCCGCCTGCCTCTGCCTCCCAAGTGCTGGGATTAAAGGCATGCGCCTGGCTATTTGTTATTTTTATGTGTGTATATTGTCAGCGTGTATGTGAGTGCACCTGTGCAATCTCAGAGGCGGGTGATGGGTCCTCTGGAACTGGAATTACTACAGACAGTTGTTGGCCACCCTGTGGGTGCTGGGAATCAAACCCAGGTCCTCTAGAAGAGCAGCCAGTGCTCTTAACGGCTGAGCCATCTCTCCATGGAGCAGGTTCTATCAGGAGGAAATGGAAGCAGTTTGGGACTGGATCACAAGGCAACTGCAATCACCACCAGGGGGCAGCAGAGGCACTGTGCCTTCAGCTACACAAGAAAATAGGTCTAGGCTTCAGACTCCCCTGCACTGGAGCAGAAAGCACATGATTCGTTGGGAACCATTTACACTTTAGTAGGAAAGAAAGGAAGAAAGTCTTCCTTTGGCTCTTTAATTTGGCCCCAGGGGTCCTAGCTCTTGTGCCACGTATCCCTCCCTCTCCCCATACACCTATCTCCCCATTGCTCACTCTACTGGAGCTCATCCTCCAGAGTGCAAGCTGGCCCAGCTTCAGGACTGTTACACTTACCACCACTCTGTGAAGAGCTCTGTTCCCTCCTTTCTTGGTCTGGAGGTCTCCATCAAGTCGACAGACTGAATGCTTCCACACCTACTGCACTGGCTCCTCTCAGCTGGACCCCATTAAGGCTGTGCTTTTCACGATTTTTTTGTTTTTGTTTTTGTTGTTTTTATTCTAGACAGGAGTTCTACCTCTGAGCCAGACCCCCAAGTCCCTCACTGGGGGAATCTAGGCAGGAGCTCCACCCCTGAGCCATGTCCCCAGCCCCTCACTGTGGGGTTTTGGGCAGGAGATCTACCCATGAGCCATGCCCTCAGTCCCTCACTGGAGGATTCTAGGCTCTGAGCAATGCTCCTGACCCCTCACTAGGGGGTTCTGGGCAGGGGCTCTACCCCTAAGTCACACCTCCAGCCCCTCACTGGAGGATTCTAGGCAGGGACTCTACCTCTGAGCCACATCCCTGGTTCTTGGTTTTGTTTTTGTCTTTTTGAAACAAGGCCTCTCTGTAGCCCCAGCTGACCTGGAATTCACTATGAAGACCAGGTTCTTGATCCCACAGAGATCCATTTGCCTCAGCCTCCCCGAGTGCTGGGATTAAAGGTATGTGCCACCATACCTGGATGGTCCTTGGTTTTTATTATTATTTTTTTAGACCTTGGCTTTGTAGTCTCTAGGCCACTGTATAGCTTGGGTTGTAGCCCAGCTTGGTCTCAGACTTGTGACTCCTGTGTCAGCCTCCCCAGTGCTGGATGACAAGAGTGCACCCTACTGTGACCCCATCTTCTTGTTTGTGTTTTGGCTTGGCCTGAATCTTCTCCCTTTGTATCCTCAGAGCAGAGTCTGGTATACAGCAGGTACTCATTTGATGCTGCAGCCCAGATTAATGGGAAGCATGTGGATGGGCTCTACCTGTGGTGGCATGGGTTGAACACCAGAGAGTTGGCTCTCTAGGCCACAGAAACTGTTCTAGGCTGGAACAACATTGTGGGAGACACGTTTCCTCAGGGTCTAAGATCACTCACAGAGAGACCATAGGTCTTTGACATAGTGTATGTGTGTGGGGGAGTATTGGGAGACAGTGACCTGAAGCAGGTGGCGGGGGCTGTTCAATGGCAAAGCAAATGTCCTGGGGCAGGCTAGGGACAAGATTGGGGTCCAACCCTGTAAGGGCTTCTGTGGGATGCAGTTTGCTGGGAGGGTGAGTGGAGTCATGGAGGTGTGTAAACAATGGAGGTGGGTGAGTCCAGCCTTTGGGGACAAGCCCTCTTCATTGTCAGAGGCCCAGTGCAGAGAAGAAACCAAGGCCAGATGGGCTGAAGAGGCAGAGCTGGACAGGTGGGGCAGCAGATGTGTGGGGTGAGTGGAACAGAGGTACCACAGTTATGGGACAGGTGTGTATAGTGTGTGCTGAGATGTCTCTGTGCACAGGAGTAGGTGTGTGAGAGCCAGGGCTCCAACTCTCTGGTCCCAGAGTCAGGAGGCTCTGCCTCTTTGACAACAGACTCGGGCTGGATAACAGGGTCATTGGTGACCACTGTGACAGGATCACATGTGGCTCCTGTGTCCTGTACTTGGGACTCCAAATGTACACAGTTCAGCCACCTCCCAATCTCCTTCTGTGCTTTCCCCTCCCAAATGTCACTCCAGTCTGCATTGGCCTCTAGCCACCCCATCCCCTTCTATAAGGCCCCTGATTTCCAGGTCAGATGTGTGGGATTTACAAACAGTTCAGATCTTGAGCTCCCCCAACCTATTCATATTGGTCTTCCAGTAAGCCCCACTCCCTCCTGCAGGCCCAATGTGGTCAGCCCTGTGATGCCCTGTCTTAGTTTGTTTCTTCATTGCTGGGACAAAACACTCTGACCACTACCAACTTGGGGAGGAAAGGGTTTATTTCATCTTATATCTCCTGGGTCACAGTTCATCAGGGAGCCCAGTGTAGGAACTCAGGGCAGGAACCTGGAGGCAGAAGCTGGAGCACAGGCCATGGAGGAACACTGCTTACTGGCTTGCTCCCTTGGCCCCTCCTCAGATTGCTTTTTTACGCAACACAGGCCCACCTGCCCAGGGGTGGTACCACCCACAGTAGGCTGGGCCCTTCCACATCACTCAACAATCAAGAAGGTGCCCCATGGACTTGACCACAGGCCAGGCCAATGAAAGAAATTCCCCAATTGAGGCTACCTCAACCCAGGTGCGTCAAGTTGACACTAAAGCTATCCAGCACATGCCTCTCAGTCCTGCCAGTGATACCCTTTCTCCAAGTCCCCACCATCTTCCAGGTACCACATGCCTTCCTTCCTCCCTCCCCCTTACCCCTTTCCCTTCCTCCCTCCCTTGCCCTCCCTTCTTCCAGCTTACATTGAAGACTTGGTCTCATAGCTCAGGTTGAATTCCTAATCCCCTGCCACCATCTCCCCTCAGTCTGGGATGACAGTCACAGCTTCCAGTTTTATGCATTGCTGGAGATGGAACTCAGAGCGAGCCATACCAGGTGAGCGCTCTACCAATGAGCCATATCCCAGCCCTCTTTCTTCGAAATGATCTTCATTTGACTCTTGTTTGCTCTCGGTCTCCCACCTGAGACCTAGGATCCCTGAATTCAAAGAATTTGTGAGCCTGTCCCTACGGGTCTCTCGGGTTCCATACAGGGACAGGCATAATGCAGGTGTTCAATAAGTGTTTCGTGATTAATGTTTGTTGAGCAAATGAGTAACTGGATATGGGTTTGTTTTCTATTTTGTGGGGACTTAGGGCAATACTCAGCAGAGTGAGGAGCCTGGAGGGGGCGTGGCAGAATCTGATCTGCGAGTGATGTGAGAAGAGGGATGGACTGCGGATACATCTCCGTATGCGCCTGTACCTCAGTTTTCCCCGTTATCTCCTTTTCCTGGATATGGGGTCTGGGCCTCAAGTTAGGTCAAGGCAGGACTGAGGTGTCCAATGCTCCAGGGGAGCGGGCAGACCTCAGAATGACCCTCACTGGTTGTCTGGGGACTGGGAGAGGAGGAAGTATTCATTCGGTGCCTACTGTGTGCAAGTCCCCCTTTCATAGTGAATGGGTCAGCCCCCCAGCTCTGTGCGCGCGTGGTCCGTGTTTCCCATCGTTCCTCCATCACTGTGGGCATTTAAAGATGGGATGAAAAGGGCGGTGACGGTTTACCTGGGGGAGGGGCAGGACTACGCCAGGAAGTGACCCTGAAGCCCCGCCCCACCCGCAGGGGCCCTGGCAACGCCCCGCCTTCACTGAGAAGGGACTTAGCAACGCCCCGCCTCCAGTGCCTAGGGCCCTAGCAACGCCCTACTAATCCTGTCCCCTCTACCCAGAGCCCTAGGTACATCCTAACGCTGATGCTCAGGCCCATAGCAACGCCCCGCCCCGTCACCCGGAGCTCTAGCCCCGCTCCATCTCCGCCTGGCTTCCCCGAAACCTAGCAACGCCTTGCCTTACTGTAAAGGACCCGAGCGACGAGCGGCCTGCTCTCCAGCAACGCCCCGCCCCTTCAGCGCAGGGGCCCCCAGCGTCCACGCCTCGCAGGCCCCGCCCCCAGGGCCCCGCCCCTCTATTGGGCGGAGCTTCGGGCCGCGCTTCCTCCTGGCAGCACAGTCTGGCGGCTCCGCGAGGCTTCAGGCCGATTCCGGCCGATTCCGCCGGGTTCCCGCGGCGCTGAGGGCTGCGGCATGTCCGACCCCAGCTACTGGACGGCGGTAGCGGCGCCCGGGCATCGCAGCCGCCTGGCCAAAGGCGCGCTGCTGCAACGCTCCAAGAGGTAGGGACGGGCCCCGACCCGGAGTCCAGCTGGGGACGGCTGGATTCGAACCCAGGACCCCAGGCTAGGCAGAGCTCAGAGGAGTTTGGAAAGATTGAAGCCGTCTGTCCTGGGCCGCGCTAACTGGAAATGCTGGCGCAGACTCAAGAGCTCAACAGCCCAGGCTGTGTGGGTGGTGGATCGGGAACCCAGGCAAGCTTTGCCTCTCTTAGGCCTCTTCTGTAGGTTAAGAGAGATATGGTGGCTCAATCAGACCCAGGTTCAAATATCAGAGGAGCCACGGCCATGCTGTGTGACCTCAGGCAGTTCCACAACCTCTCCGTGCTTGGGCTTCTCAGTGTTTGGGTTCTACCAAAGAGGCTGAGTCTAGGTTGCAAGGACCCTGGGTGCTGAATCTAAGGCTTTGATTGTGACCAGAGGCACTGGGATGCCCAGTGTGGTGTATGGGCATTATAGAGCCGGCATTCATGGAGCTGTTCACATTTAATAGATACTCAGAGACAGGCGTGGTGGCACACACCTTTAATCCCAGCTCTTGGGAGGCAGAGGCAGGTAGATCTCTGTGAAATCCAGGTCAGCCTGCTCTATGGAGGAATTGCAGGCCAGCTGGGGCTACAGGGGGACCCTGTCCCCCAAACAAAACAAAACAAAAAAGTCAGGAAGGATGCCCCTGGGTTCTTGGGTTCTTTGAAGTGTCCAATATGGTGGTCTTTTTGAGACCTCACCTGGGAGCTAGAGGGAAAGGAACCAATGAAATGTGATTGGGAGCGACCAGCTTGGCAGACAGAGTGGTTGGGAGAGGATGTGGCTACCTCTGTGTGTGTGTGTGTGTGTGTGTGTGTGTGTGTGTGTGTGTGTTGAGTGCAGCGGGGATCAGCAGGAAGTCCTGCAGGGACCTGGGGTTCTGTTTCTATACCCACACCGCAGCCTAGTGGATGATTTGATTCCAGCCAGGGCCTGTTTCCCAGTTGGGAGATAGGCTGGACTGCTGCCCACCTTGGGGCTGGTTGAGACTGCTGTATGTCCACACTGGGCACCTAGCTGACTCTGGGGGTGGGGCTCTGAGAGCTTGTCCCCAGAAAGCCAGCGACAGCCTGCATAGGTTTCCTGGAATCTCCCCACCATCTTTCTGGGAGTCCAGATGAAGAAACAGGCTGGGGAGCAGCAGGAGATGCTGGGCCCTTCACTGTCACCTACTGCTGCCCTCCCCACCAGCCTTGGCTGCAGCTTGTACTCCTGATTGAGGGACCCCCCTCCTTGCTTCCTTGAGGACCCGCCTGTCGCTCCCTTGAGCTGAGAGCGTTGGTGGAGGCTGTGTGGGCTGTTCTGCCGCTTGTCTCCTGTCAGCCGTTGCTGGGCGACTGGGGGTTGGGGGAGGGTGCACTGAAATTCCGTGGCCTCAACTTCCCAGGGCCAGGGTTGAGCTGAGACTGGGGGCCAGGTGGGTAGCAAGGGCCAGGCCAGGTTCCAGAGGCCTTGGCCAGGGTCAGGTCAGGCGACTAGAAGGGGGTGAAGGGGGAAGAAAAATGTGTTAGAGGGTGAGTTGTTTGTTGGGTCCTATTAACATTTTGAGGTGATCCTGGGATGGTGCTGGGAAATAGCTTCAGGGACAGGGAGTGGACAAAGCTGCCCTCACCTAGCCAGGCCTCTGGGATGTGGACTGCCATCCTCGCCCAGCTTTAGGGTGTTCCTACCAGGGGTCATGGTGTAAGGGGAGGCTGGAAGCAGGACAGGGTGTCCTGACCACATGCCTGTATCCACCTTGGTGGCACCTCCCACTGGGATGTTACACAGGGGTGTTAGGGACATTAAGAGAAGTTTTACATATGACACCCCAGGAGTTCAGGGTCATCCTTGGCTATATATGACATTCTAGGCTAGCCTGGGCTACGTGAGACTCTCAGAAGTTAGAAGGGCCATCTGTTTGACAGTAACCCCCAGCTGGCTCTCAGAAATTCAGGCTAACAACCCCTAAAGGGACCCACTCAGGGCATATTAATGGTTGGTATGGCCCAGTGTGCAGCTAGCGGACATGCACTTCCAGCAGGGCATGTGGTCCCCAGCCCTTGGCCTGAGCCAGCTGACTGACCCAGTCATCTCCTCACAGCTGTCGCAGTGGGAACCGCAAGAGCCTAGTGGTGGGGACACCCTCGCCTACTCTGTCCCGGCCCCTGTCACCACTGTCTGTCCCAACTGGTGAGTGGGGGAGCTCCAGGTGGGTGGCTGGGTCGGGTCCCCACCCCTGATTACTTTCCCCACCTCCCCCAGCAGGCAGCAGCCCCTTGGACAGTCCTCGAAACTTCTCTGCAGCAGCAGCCATCAACTTCCCCTTTGCCCGGAGGTAAGTCCCACACCAGCCACCGGAGCCAAGGGCTTCTTAGGAACGGCTTGCACGTGGTGGCCAGACTTGCCCCCTCATTGTCTTCTCCCCTCCTTCCTGCCTGGTCACCTGGTGGTGGTCTCTTCTTGTGGCTTCTGCCCTGGCACACACACACACATGCCATCTGCAGCCACCTCTGTCACGGTGACAGGTACTTGAGAGTCCTCAGAGGGAAGAGGGGCCATAGCTGGATGCAAGAATCGCTAACAAACTCACTCCCTCACCAATCAGGAGCTGAAGTGGTGTGCCCCAGCCTTAACTTACACTCATTCACTCACCAACATGTATTGAGCATCTGCTGTATGCAGTGCCCTGTCTTGGGGCTGAGGCTGTACCTGGTAATGGAAGGCTGAATCCTGGCCCTTGGGGTGTCCTTGGGTTGTTGGGGGCAGCTGGCCTGTCCCCCAGCAGTGACAGTGGACAAGCCAAAGCTTCAGTGGCATGTGTGGCTCCAGGGTGGGCTTGAAGATGCTGAGGACTGATGCCTCCAGGGTTTTGGTCCAGTGGAACTGGAATCTGCCAGTACACCAACTGCCCTGAGTCCCTGCAAGCCACAGAGTGGCCCTTCCCACCTGTCCCATCTTACTCCAGGGCTGATGGCAGAAGATGGTCTCTGGCTTCTCTGCCGTCTTCTGGCTATGGAACCAACACGCCCAGCTCCACGGTCTCGGTACTTACAGCTCCCCCAGGCGGTGGATGGGCTAGGGTGGGGTGCTAGACAGTGTGGCTGTCCCCTCCATGTCCTGTTGTGAGTGTGTGGGTACCTGGAAAGATGTAGCTTTGACCCCACAGATCCCCCAGACCTCTCTATCCTGTGAAGTCATGGTCAGATCTAGGATGATGGAGGACTCTAGGCAGTGAGGGCTTCTAGGGAAGGCTGCTGAGTGGGATTTTGAGAAGCCATAGGAGATGGCAGCAGAAATGTAACCTGGGATGGCCCAGTCCTAGAAAGGGCTGAGCAGGGTGGGGCCAGGATCTTGGCCATGACCTGACATCTATCCTCTTTCCCAGTCAAGCTCATCCTCCCGGGAACGGCTGCACCAGCTTCCCTTCCAGCCCACTGCAGACGAGTTGCACTTCCTGTCCAAGCACTTCCGCAGCTCCGAGAGCGTGGTGGATGAAGACGGTGGCCGATCACCACGCCTGCGCCCCCGATCCCGCAGCCTCAGGTGGGCCTTGGCCACCTCCTGTCACACGCCCTCCTCCCATCACTCACCCTCCTCCCATCACACACCTCCCATCACACACCTCCTCCCATCACTCACCCTCCTCCCATCACTTACCCTCTTCCCATCACTCACCTCCTCCCATCACACACCCTCCTCCCATCACTCGCCCTCCTCCCATCACTCACCTTCTCCCATCACACACCTCCTCCCATCACTCACCTCCTCCCATCACTCGCCCTCCTCCCATCACTCCCCTCCTCCCATCACTCACCTCCTCCCATCACTCACCTCCTCCCATCACTCGCCCTCCTCCCATCACTCACCTTCTCCCATCACACACCTCCTCCCATCACTCACCTCCTCCCATCACTCACCTCCTCCCATCACTCACCCTCCTCCCGTCACTCACCTCCTCTCATCACTCACCCTCCTCCCATCACTCACCTCCTCCCATCACACACCCTCCTCCCATTACTCGCCCTCCTCCCATCACTCGCCCTCCTCCCATCACTCACCTTCTCCCATCACACACCTCCTCCCATCACTCACCCTCCTCCCATCGCTCACCCTCCTCCCATCACTCACCCCCCTCCCATCCCTCCCCCTCCTCCCATCACTCACCCTCCTCCCATCCCTCCCCTCCTCCCATCACACACCCTCCTCCCATTACTCGCCCTCCTCCCATCACTCGCCCTCCTCCCATCACTCACCTCCTCCCATCACTCACCCTCCTCCCATCACTCACCTCCTCACATCACTCACTTCCTCCCATGTCACACACCTCTTCCCATCCTCTTTCAGCCCGGGGCGCACATCAGGAACCTTCGACAATGAGATTGTGATGATGAACCACGTGTACCGAGAACGATTCCCCAAGGTGGGCTGTGCCTGTTGCTTATAGATGGTTTTGTCTGTCCCTGTCTGTGGCTGTGCCCCTTGTCTCTCTCTGACCTCTCCTGCTCTCCTGTGCACTGGCCAGGCCCTGCCTCTCCTGAACTTTCTGCCCCTTGGCCGCCCAGTCCTGCCCTGTAGCCAGACCCTGCCTTGCTGTCAGTCACCATAGCCCCACCCTCTCATCAAGTGGCACCTGTCAGTCACCATAGCCCTATCACTGACTTAGCTCCAACTCTCCAGTCAAGTCTTGCCTGCCAGCTGCTGCTGACCCACTCCTGTCACTCACTGTTTCCCTGCCTTGCCCTCTCTCCTGTACTCACTCTGCCTTTCCCCACCCCTCTCCTGTACACAACTCACCTCTGCCCTCCCACAGGCCACTGCACAAATGGAGGGGCGGCTACAGGATTTCCTGGCTGCCTTTACCCCTGGTGGCCGCCTGGCACTAGCAGATGGGGTCCTGGGCTTCATCCACCACCAGATTGTGGAGCTGGCACGGGACTGCTTGGCCAAGTCAGGCGAGGCACTGGTGACCTCACACTACTTCCTGGAGATGCAGGACAAGCTGGAGAGGCTACTGCAGGATGTGCGTAGGGGCGGGGCTCAAGAGGTCACCCCCACAAGGGCAGAGAGGGTCCAGACCACACCTAGGTGGGCATGGCCTGTTGTGTGTACACACTTGGGGCAGGTCTGTGCAAAGCCTTGGGCAGGGCCTAGGTACGGGTTGCCATGCCTACCACCCAGGTGTGTGGGGGGGGGGAGTCTGCGTGTAAAGCCATGCCCCCATCACATGTACTGTCTTCTGGGTGGGGGCCCTGCCTACCACTGCACCCCTGACCTCTGTGGACCTCTGCACCCTTGCCAATCCCTGCTTGGTCACCTGTAGCTGGAAGCAGGGCTGCTTCTGGGTGGAGCTTGGAGAGCTGCTGTCTGTGGGTGGGGCCAGGGAAGGGACCCACCCATCATGGGTGGAGCCACTCATGAGGAAGGTGGGGTCTTGTTTAGCGCCACACCTACATGGGTGGGCCTGGGATGGAGTCACCCTCTCTGGTGTCCCTGTGGGTGGTGTTGTCTCCACAAGTGGATGGGCCTGGGTGGTGCTGGACCTACCTGTGGGTGGGGCCACCCCTGTGGGCAGGGTCTTGCTGAGCCCCATCCTACTGCCACCCAACCTCGCAGGCTCTGGAGCGCTCAGACAGTGAGGAGGTGGGCTTCATCGTGCAGCTGGTGCGCAAACTGCTCATCATCATAGCGAGGCCTGCCAGGCTGCTAGAGTGTCTAGTGAGTACTGTGGGGGGATGGCAGACAATGTGGGAGTCCTGGGGTTCCGAAGACCTGGGATTGGCCTCTCAGGAGATCTCACTACCTGCCCCCAACAGGAGTTTGACCCCGAGGAGTTCTACCACCTGCTGGAGGCGGCTGAGGGTCAAGCCCGGGAGGACCAAGGTGTCAAGACCGACCTTCCCCGCTACATCATCCGCCAGCTGGGCCTGGCCAAGGACCCTCTGGAAGGTGTGGTAGGGCCAACTGGGAAACAGGCTGGAACCACACTGTCCTCTCCCTTTGTGGCTCTGGCCTTGTCACCCCAAGGTGAATTGCACTCAGAACAGAGAGAACCTGGATTTGAACCTAAGACCCCCTTACCTTGGGGCTCTGTGTGGGTCTCAGGCTCATGTCTTGGGGTCAGTTGGCTGAGGCTCCCTTGGCGTTGTTCTTTACCATGCTCTGGGGTGGGGAATACTGGAAACTGTCCTGAATTGCACCCAGGCTGAAGAATATGTGGAGAGTGAGGCCCAGAGTCTTGAGCCATCAGCTTTTCTAGAAGGTTCCTTTTAGTTCTTTCTTTACTGGCCTATATAGCCTGACCCTGTCAAAAAACCAAAAAAACAGGCTAGAGAGATGGTTCAGGGGTTACACTGGCTGCTCTTACAGAGGACCCAGGTTCAGTTCCCAGCTCCCTTATGGTGGCTAATACCATCTATAACTCCAGTTCCAGGGGATCTGACACCTTCTGGCCTGCATGGGCACCATATTAATACACTGATGCACTTACATATATGTAGGCAGTGCACTCACACACATAAAAATAATTAATTAATTAATTAATTAATTAAACAAATAGCAAATAAAACCAAAAAGACTCTTCTCTCCTCTAACAGAGATTGTGCCCCTCCGTGACCTGGACGAGGGCCAGCCTCCAGCACCAGAGTCCCCAGAGGTCACTGACAAGGTTGGCGTGAGGTCCTATCTTGCCTTTTTCTGGGTGCCTTAAAGAGGGCTGACTGCTGAAGTTTTGGGTGGTAGGTGCTTAATAAATGTGCGATTTGGGGGAAGGTGCCAGCATTGGGCTGCTGGAGGTCACTGGGTCTAGGCTAGACTGAAAGGGGCATTGAAAAGGTGGGTGCTGAAGCACGTGTAGGAGTTGCCAGGCTTAGGCACTGGGGAGAGAAAGTGACATCAGTCAGTGAGACCCTCAGCTTGCATCTGGGGACAGGCAGCAGGGCAGACTTCAAGTGCCTCTGTCCCCTAGGGCCGAGCCCTGGGTTGCCCTTCTCGGAGGAAGCCATGTGAGAGTGACTTCGAGACCATCAAACTCATCAGCAATGGGGCCTATGGGTGAGTCCCCGGGGCGGGGGGGTGGTCCTGAGGCGGTCAAAGCACAGCCGCCTAGTGTGCTGCTCCCCACAGGGCTGTCTACCTGGTGCGACACCGAGACACCCGGCAGCGCTTTGCCATCAAGAAGATCAACAAGCACAACCTGATCCTGCGGAACCAGGTGCAGCAGGTGTTTGTGGAGCGTGACATCCTGACCTTTGCCGAGAACCCCTTTGTGGTCGGCATGTTCTGTTCCTTTGAGACCCGCCGCCACCTATGCATGGTCATGGAGTACGTGGAAGGTGCGCACCCCACTGCAGTGCTGGTCCACCCTGGGAAAGCCCAGCCATGGGCCCAAAGATGGAATGCACCCTGGTGGCTGGAGGCAGGATGGACAGACATCTTGGGAAGGAAGGTGCAGCAGTGGGGAGGGCTGGGTAGAGCCTCACCCAGGCTTCCAACAGGGTTGGTGTAGCTAAGAGTGCTGCCCTGCTAGTGAGCTGCAGTAGACAGGGTCCCCACAAGTCCCCCAGGGAGCTACAGAGGTGCCCCTGACAGGTGCCCCTCACACAGGTGGTGACTGCGCCACGCTCCTCAAGAACATGGGCCCCCTGCCTGTGGACATGGCGCGCATGTACTTTGCAGAGACTGTGCTGGCGCTGGAGTACTTGCACAACTACGGAATCGTGCACAGGGACCTCAAGCCTGACAAGTGAGGGGAGGGGCGGGACCAGGGGGAGAAGACAGGGTGTGTGGGGTGAGGGGCGGGACCGTGGTGGGACCAGGGCGGGGCGGGGGGAGACGACCAGAGGCAGGGCCAGGGGGCATTGGCATCCCCAGCCCCTCCTGACAGGAAAGCGGGGCAGGTGCATACATTGACTACCTGTTTTGAGGAAAGAGCCACTCATTTATTTAGCACCATCTGTTTGTGAAGCAGGAGCATGTGGGAGGAGAACAGATCCTGGTGCAGTTTGCTCTCAGCTCAGCACACACATTTGGTACCTGTTGTATACAGCCTTGGTGCTTGCTACTTTGTGGAGCTGGAACAGTATGCATAAAGTAGACAAAAAGAATTGCTTCTTAATGGAGCCTAGACATGCAGGAGGTGCTAGATAAATGAATAACTAAACAATGAGTATAGAAAATGAGCTTTCTAGCCTTTAATCCCAGCACTCAGGAGGCAGAGGCAGGTGGATTTCTGTGAGTTTAAGGCCAGCCTGGTCTGCATAATGAGTTCCAGGCCAGGTGGGGCTACAGGGAAATCCTGTCTCAAAAAAACCAAAAAAAGAAAAAAGAAAATGAGCTTTCTAAGAAATTGTTAACAAGGTGGATAAATATATGAAGTTCTAGCTGGACATGGTGATGCACACCTGTCATCCCAGCAGTTAGGGAGACTGAGGCAGGAGGATCAGGAGTTCAAAGTCAGCATGGGCTAGGCTACAGAGTAAATTTGAGGGCAGACTGGGCTACATGAAAAAAAAATTTAAGTACACGTTTTGGTACAGATACAATTTTCTAATAGGTATCTTCAGTGGGTGGGTGTGGCACCTTGTAGGCATACAGGGCAGAGGGTACACAGTGGGTGTTTGTACCTTTGGCTAATGACCTGAGCATCTTGACCTTGCTCATAGCCTGCTCATCACCTCCCTGGGCCACATCAAGCTGACAGACTTTGGCCTGTCAAAGATTGGGCTCATGAGCATGACTACCAACCTGTACGAGGGTCACATCGAGAAGGACGCCCGAGAGTTCGTGGACAAGCAGGTGCGGGGCTCCCCAGGGCATGACTCTTGACGCACCTCTCCTCCCCACCCCAGCTGGGTCTCAGTTTCCCCATTCCACATAGGTGTGCGGAACCCCCGAGTACATTGCACCTGAGGTGATCTTCCGACAGGGCTATGGAAAGCCAGTGGACTGGTGGGCTATGGGCATCATCCTCTACGAGTTCTTGGTGGGCTGCGTGCCATTCTTTGGGGACACCCCTGAGGAGCTGTTTGGGCAGGTGATCAGTGGTACGTGTCCCCTGGGACCAGGTTCCAGTCTTGGCCCCACAAGGACTTAGGCCATGGCTCCACTCTTAGAGGGGATGTGTTGGTAGGGTGGGGACTCTGAGACCTCAGTTAGGTGACAGCCCATAGGAACAAGTGGATGCCATGGAGGGATGCAAGGCCTCCTGTGAGGGGCAGAGTGGGCAGAGACCTGGAGATGGACTTCCAGGGGCTGCAGGGCTTCGGGACTCTGTGAAAGGTGTGGGAAAGGGCATCCCACCCTCATCTCTCCCTTTTATTTCAGATGAGATCATGTGGCCAGAAGGAGATGAGGCCCTCCCACCCGATGCCCAGGACCTCATCACCCGGCTGCTGCGCCAGAGCCCAATGGACCGCCTGGGGACCGGTGAGGCCACAACATTAATGAAGAAAACCATGTGGAGGGGGAACTCGGGAGCTGGGGTTTATAGGGTACATAGGAGTTAGAGACTCACATGATTGTACGAAGTAGTTGTGACTGGTGCTCACATGGAACTCTGAGGTGGGGGACATCCATGAGTCCCTGAAGTCACCAGGGCCTGTGCTAAGCTGAGGACCCAGACCAGAGGACCCCTCAGTCACCGTTAGTTGGTGTCCCAGCCCAGCTCTCTCTAGGCTTCAGCCCAGTAGCTCATTTTTGGTTTTGGAGCCCACATTTCCTGGTCTCCCATCTAGTGCGCAGGGGGGTATGGAGTGGAGGGCCACAGGGCTCAGCCAGTCTGTCCACAGGTGGTACCCATGAGGTAAAGCAGCACCCCTTCTTCCTGGCCCTGGACTGGGCTGGGCTCCTGCGACATAAGGCGGAGTTTGTCCCACAGCTTGAAGCCGAGGACGACACCAGCTACTTTGATAGTAAGTGAGGACCCAGGATGGCTCTGGTGCTTTACTACCACCAGAAACACTGCTTGGAGGCACAAAAGCGTCCACTCTCTATTTGGGGCTCCCAGACACAGAATGAGTCAGTGCCCTGTTTACGGCCTGCCTCCAGACCACAGTGCCTGACAGAGGTCCTCTCTGTTCATCTGTCTCCTCTTCTGTAAAGGACTATAATTCACATTGGAGACTCAACGTTTACCTCATACTAGATGGCCCATTTCAAGGGTGAGGAAACCGAGGTTCAGAGCCAAGTACATGTACTCATGCCATTGCCACACAGCTTTGGGGGATGTGCTAGGGGTTCAGTCTGTGATACATGCCATCCCCAGCCTTCTATGGCTGCCATTACCTGCCAGGGGTCCCCCTCAGGGCACCTGTACTGGCCGAACAATCCTCTTAGCCCTGGGTCCCCTCTGTGTGTCTTGCGACCCCAGCCTGTCCCCTTTCTCTGCAGCACGCTCTGAGCGTTACCGCCACCTGGGCTCAGAGGAGGACGATGAGACTAATGATGAGGAGTCCTCGGCAGAGATACCCCAGTTCTCCTCCTGTTCCCACCGCTTCAGCAAGGTAGGTCTGGGAGTGAAGTGCCAGCACAGGGAACCCTGAGATCTGTGCCTGACTGGCCAGCTCTGCATTATCTTTAGTTTTGGTTTTTGGTCTCCCTGTAACCCCAGCTGGCCTGGAACTTGCTATGTAGACCAGGCTGGGCTTGAACTCACAGAGATCCGCCTGCCTCTGCCTCCCAAGTGCTGGGATTAAAGGTGTGAGCCACCACGCCTGGCTGGTTTTTGGTCATTTTGAGTCAGGGTCTCCCTGTAGCCACAGCTGGCCTGAACTCACTATGTAGACCAGGCTGGCCTGGATCTCAGAGATCTGCCTGCCTTTGCCTCCCGTGTGCTGGGATTCAAGGCATGCGCCACCATGCCCAGCTAGTTTGGTTTTTGAAGCGGGGTCATGCTCTGTAGCCCATCCTCCTGTCTCAGCTGGGTAATGAATGTGCCACCATGTCTGCCATTTTTTATACTCTCCTCCCAGGTCTATAGCAGCTCTGAGTTCCTGGCTGTCCAGCCCACCCCCACCTTCGTGGAGAGGAGCTTCAGCGAGGACCAAGAGGAAGAGTGGGAGCGCAGCGAGGGGGAGAATGGCCGCCGACTGAGCACTGACCTCCGGTAGGCAGACTGAGGGGGTTTAGGGAGAGCCCGGCCTGCTGAGAATTGGAGAGACAAAAATCCATTGTTGAAGGAGCTTCCCAGCGGCCTTGTAGAAAAGAGTCAAACATAGGAGGCCACTGACAACCTCCCTTTGTTTTATGTCTATAAGCATGCAACATAAAGCTGCTAGGCTCTACCATGCTGCTAGGCTCTGCCCTGCAGGTTTCCCTCTGTCCAGAATGCATTTGGCTAGCAAACTCAGACTCAACAGGATCAATGTGGCCTGGAAGGCAGGAGCTAGAAGCTGAGCTTTTAGGTTTAATAGGAGTTCTCCAGGCAGGCATAGGGAACTCACCAACCTGTATCTGGCATTTGTGCTCTGTGTTGCCTGGTTGTCCAGGCTGGGACTTAGGAGGTGTAGCTGAATGAGTGATACAACTCCTCCCCCTGCAGGATGAGGTCCTGGACCTCAGCCTCCTCCTGTCAATCATCCTCACAGCCTGACCGTGGCCCTAGCCCATCTTTGTTAAATACCATCAGTCTGGACACAATGCCCAAGTTTGCCTTTTCATCTGAGGATGAGGGAGCGGGCCCCAGCCCTGCCGACCCCAAGAAGCCTGTCTTCATCCTTGGGGAGCCTGATGCCCCACCACCCACCATCCCAGTGACACCCAAACTCTGCAACCTTTCTGGTAGGCGGGGCCCAGGGAGGAATTTCGGGGGGTATTTCTGAGATGGGTTTTGAAGATGAATAGGAGATTCTCCAGAGCTAACAAACCTTTTAAGATAAAGAGGCAGCCTCACACATCCAAGAAGCCCACAGCCTCGGTTCATGTTAGGATGGGGAGCCTGGGGTGAGATAGAGGGTGGGTCAAGCTGACCTCACCTGTCCTCACAGCAGACACAGCCCTCCTCAGCCATGCCCGCCTCCGAAGTAACAGCACTGGTGCCAGGCACTCAACTCCTTGGCCCCTAGATGCTGGGCGGGGCCGTCGTCTCGGGGGCCCTGAGAAGTCCCGGGCCTCCCCTGGAGGCAGCGGGGGACGTGTGCCTAAGTCAGCCTCTGTGTCAGCACTGTCCCTCATCATCACAACAGGTAGCGTCCTTGTTTGTCCCTGGTCACTTTAACCATCACAGCCCACTGGAGAGCTGGGCCTGCCGTGCTATCCTCCAGGATTGGGGAGGTGCTGTAGGGAGCAGGGAAATGGGTCCTGTTAGATATGGCATGTGCAAAGACCTGTGTTTCCTGCACTATGCACAGCCAGGAATGCCAAGCAGATAGCACGGCCACTGTTGGGGGAGAAAGGTGCCCCGCCGGAACCCATGATGAGTGTCGCTCTTACCCCCCACAGATGATGGTAGCGGGGGCCCCCTCATGAGCCCCCTGTCTCCACACTCACTGCCTTCCAATCCCTCGTCCCGAGACTCCTCGCCCAGCCGGGACCCATCGCCCGTGTGTGGTAGCCTTCGACCCCCCATCGTCATCCACAGCTCAGGCAAGAAGTTCGGCTTCAGCCTGCGAGCCATCCGTGTCTACATGGGTGACAGTGACGTGTATGCCGTGCACCATGTGGTCTGGGTAAGTGGGAGGACATGGCATGCCTGGGGATGGTGAGCCCTGGGCTTAAATCCTAGCCAGGCCCCTCCTGGGAGGCAGCATGGGGCCTAGGGCCACATTCAGCCCTTGTTCTCTATTACTGTTGGCTTTGGGGGGGAGTTAGATGTCAGGTACTGGTAGACAAGGACTGAGCCTACTCTGTAGCATAACCTTACTTAGAGGAGGGAAAATGAGGCAGTAGCTGGCCAGATCCACGTCCCAGGTTCCTCCCATCTGCACACTGATCTGGGGTCCCTGACGCATTGTGCTGTGTCCACAGAGTGTGGAGGAGGGGAGCCCGGCACAGGAGGCTGGCCTGCGTGCAGGGGACCTCATCACACACGTCAATGGAGAGTCGGTCTTGGGCCTCGTGCACACCGACGTGGTGCAGCTGCTGCTAAAGGTACAGCCCCCCGCCCCCTCCCTGCACCCCAGACTAGGACAGGCAACTGCACCTTGGGGGTCAGAGACCCTGTAGGCATGCTCCGTGGGAGGGAGGGAGTAAGGAGGGGACAGGGATGAAAAGGGGGTGGACAGCTGGGTAGGTGTGGGATGGGACTCCCGTGATGTTACTTGTTACCCCACAGAGTGGTACCAAGATCTCCCTGCGCACCACAGCGCTGGAGAATACATCCATCAAGGTGGGGCCAGCAAGGAAGAACGTCACCAAAGGCCGCATGGCTAGAAGGAGCAAGCGCAGCCGTCGGCGGGAGGACCGGTGAGCTGCAAGGACAGTGCTGGGGCTTCCCATGCACCCCGGCCTCTCACAGTGTCACCGCACACACCACCCCACCCCACCCTCACCTGTACCCTGCCTCTCACCCTGTACTCCACTCCCCACTTGCACCCCACCTCTCAAACTGTCACCCTGTCCCCACTCTCACCTTGTCCTCCCATCGCCAGGCGGAAGTCACTGTTTAAGAAGATGTCCAAGCCCTCGTCCATGCTGCACACCAGCCGCAGCTTTTCCTCTGGTCTGCAGCACTCTCTGTCGTCCAGCGAGAGCCTCCCAGGCTCGCCTACCCACAGCCTGTCCCCCAGTCCCACCACACCTTGCCGCAGCCCGGCTCCTGATGCCACTGCAGGTGGGTGGGCACTCAGCTTGTCATCTGGGCACTTAGAGTGTGTAGGCAGGAGGCTCAGGAGCTGCAGGCCAGCCTGGGCTATATAGCAAGTTTTAGGGCAGCCTGGGTCACCCTAGGCAGGGAAGACTAGGAAGGAGGGGTAAATGAGGGCTTTGACGGTGAGTAGGTAGTTCATCAGATCTAGGCCATTTGAACACCGGGGTGTGGGTGGGCTCTAGCAAGTTCTGTCAGCTCAAGGCCCAGCCCCCAGGATAGGGACATTGATCCATACCTATTGCCTACAGATACAGCGTCCCCACCCAGTGTATCCCCGAGTTCTAGCAGTCCTGCCTCTCCAGCTGCTGGCCACACCCGCCCCAGCTCACTACACGGCCTGGCTGCCAAGCTCGGGCCCCCTCGTCACAAAAGTGGCCGCCGCAAGTCTACCAGCAGCATTCCGCCGTCCCCACTGGCCTGCCCAATGATGCCCACAGCCCCGCCCCGCTCACCATCACCTCTGCCAGGGCACATTCCCATGCCTGCCCGGTCCCCAAAGCTGCGCCGGGGCCAGTCAGCCGACAAGTTGGGCCTTGGTACTAGTGAGCGGCTGGAGGGGGACGGAGGGAGACACAGCCGGGGGCCAGAGGCTGAGCTGGTCATCATGAGGAGGCTGCATCTATCTGAGCGCCGAGACTCCTTCAAGAAGCAGGAGGCTGTGCAGGAGGTGAGCTTCGACGAGGAGCCTGGGCCACAGCGCCTCGTGCCTCGGATTGCCGTGCAGATCACAGTGCAAAGCGCTGAGGCCTCACCAGGAGCCCCAGGGCCAGGCACAAAAGACTAGCGCCACCTCGCTCCCTTGTGCTGCGTCCTTTGTAACATCTTGGCTTGGTGGGTCACAGCTGTCAGCCCAGGATACCTGGCAGGCAAGAGGCTACCAGGAGGGAGGGTGAACACAGGACTCCCTGGTATTCTGCTCTGGGACCCTTGCAGGACGGGCTGGGGGCGGGGTGTTGTAAATAGCAGGCCCTTGCAACTAATTTATTACTTTTTATAAGCAATAGCCAGGCTGCACCGCCCTGGTGAGGCCATGGCCTGGGCTGGGCTGGCGGGGTGCAAACCCTGTTCTCTGGGTCTAGATGGAAGCACTTTGGGCAAGTCTCTGTGCTGTTGTCTTTCTGTTGTGTGTGCCCCATTCCCAGTCTGATACCTCGTCAAAGAACACAGTGGGCCTAGTTTGCACAGGATTAGGAAGCAGTGCACGTTGGTGCACGCCTGTGATCACAGCACTGGAGGCTGAGGCAGGAGGATCACAAGCCCAATCAGACTCAATTGTGAGGATCATCTCTCTTTTCTGAGCCCAGTCTGTCTTTGATCCTGCATCCTTCAGCTTGGAGAAGATGTGGGAGCAAGGGTTTTTGTTTGTTTGGTCTTTTTGAGACAGGGTCTCTCTGTAACCCCAGCTGTCCTGGAACTCACTATGCAGACCAGGCTGGCCTTGAACTCACAGAGATCCGCCTGCCTCTGCCTCCTGAGTGCTGGGATCAAAGGCACGTGCCACCACGCCCAGCAAGGGAGCAAGGGTTTTAATGGCTCAATAAGAGTTCACCAGATTGAGGCAGAGGGGCTGCCTACTTTGCAAGGGGTCTGACCCTTTGGGAGGCACAGACTCAAGGGACACCATCAAGGCAGGAGAGGTGTGTCTACTGTGGGGTTTGAGCATAGCTCAGGAGCAGAGCACTTGCCCAGCATGTGTGAGTACCACGTCTGATCTCCAGCACCACACACACAAAACCCAGAAAAAAATGTGTCCACTGTGACAGGTTCTGTGTGTTTGGTACCAAGAAAAGCAAGGCCCAGACTGCAGTGTGGTCTCTCTCTGGGTGTCAAAGCCTCCCTGAGATGAAGTCCAGAGAGAATCCAGCTGAGGGGAGGGGCGAACCTGCACCCAGGCTTTGATGTGTGGATCTGGGAGAGTCTTTCCCACTGTTTCTGAGCTGTCTCTGTTTACAGTACTAATCCCAATGACTGGAGCACTTCTCCTGGCTGCCAGCCTTGGCACAGTGTGGTCCGAGCAGCCAGGATCCAGCAAGGCCAGAGGTTCCTCTAACAATGGCTCAATGAGCACCACAGCTTAGAGCTGCTGCTTGGCCCTGCTGTGGGCACTGTCATCAGGGGAGCTTGAATGAATGAACTGGTGTGAGACCAGGCTGTCTCTCAGGTGCCCCAGCAGTGGGTTGTGGGTGCTTGGTGACCTGGCTGTGCCCACTTGGTGAGGGGATTTCAGGCACTCCAGCCTGCTTTGCACCCTTCCTGATTCCCCCAGCCAGAGCTGCCTGGGTGGAGGGAAGGCCAAGGCTGTGCATGACTAGCCCTCCGTCCATCCTGGAGCTGGCTTTGAATAAATGCCCTCATGACCATGAAGCCTAGTGTGTGCATTTGTGAGGGGATGGAGGGTGGGAGAGACTGTCATCATTGGAAGTGGGTTTTGAAGGCTGCATAGGAGTTTGCTAAAACACCAGGCAAGGCCAGGCTATCTCCTAGCTGCCCAGGAGGCCCGGTTCTAGACCACCCAGGGCAACCAAGCCAAATTCCATCTCAAGGCACGGTGGATCCCAGCACTCGGGAGAAGGTAGTGAGGCCAACCTGGGCTCATAATGAGATCCTGTCTCAAAAAATAAAAAGACTAATGCCGGGCGTGGTAGCTCACGCCTTCAATCACAGCCCTCAGAAGGCAGAGGGAGGCGGATCTCAGAGAGCAAGGCCTGCCTGGTTCACAAAGTCACTTCCAGGTGGGGTAGGACTAGGGAGACCCTGTCAAAAAAACCCCACAAAAACCAAACCGGCATGTTCAGGCATTGCCTGGAGCTGTTAACTCGCCATCTCTGCCAGCCCAACTCTCGGGAGGTTCGGACAGGATGATGGCTGCGAGTTCCAGGCCAGCCTGGGCTACAGACTGAAACCCTGTCTCAAAAGATGAGTAAATAAATCCATCTTTCTACATTTTCTCTCCCGGGCTTTGCTTTGGGCTGAGGGATTTGAGCCTCTCAGTCGAACTCCACGCCATCGGCTATTCCCGGAGCTCTAGCCAGTCAGAATTGCTCTTACCCCCAAGCCCGCTCCCCGGCTCCGAGTGTTTTAACTATTTCCGGAAACAATCGCACTTCCGGCCTTTGGCCAGCACATTCTCGCGCGTGCCGGGTCAGAAACACCGGCTGTTTCCGGACGCTGAAGGTTGCCATGGCAAAACCTTTGCCTTCCGCGGGCTTCCTAAGGGGTTTGCCGCTTCAATTGTCCCGTGGAACCGGACGTGCTTCAGCACTTTCCGGAAGCTGTTGGTGGCTTCCGGGCGTAAATCCTCAAGGCCTCTAGAGACCAACGCATTCGGATACCCTCTGGGGTCTTCCAGCGTCCTCCCTAGAGCCAATCCCGCGCGATCCTGTTCGGCTATTTCCGGAATCGGTCGGGAGTCTCTGAATTCTGCCGAGTCTAGCTTCGGAGTCTGAATTCTCAGACCCGGTTGCGCTCGACTGTTTCCGGAAACACTCGGGCATCTCTGTCCAGCCGAGCCTCGTTCCCAGGTAACGCTCTCCAGACCCGGTTTCGCTCGGCTGTTTCCGGACACACTCGACCGTTCCCGCGGGAGTACGCTCGGCTACTTCCGGAAGCATTCCTGCGTCCTTCGGCCTTCAGGCTCCAGGCTCCGCCTCGGCATGAGGAGTGGAAGGACCGCCCTCTCGGCCCGAATGCGCTCGGCTATTTCCGCCGGAGGCGGGCCTGGTTGCTCGGAACCTCGGCTACGGCGGCTGACGCAGGGATCCCGCGGCAGCGGTGGCGGTGGCCGTGGCGGTGGCCGTGGCGGTGGCGGCGACGGCCGCAACCGGGTAAGTCGATCGCGGCGGCGGGGACACGAGGAGCGCGGGGGCACTCGGGGAACTAGGGCGGGCTGAGCGCGGGGCTGTGCAGCCCGTGCGACGGAAACGGAGTCCCGGAGCTCGGGAGGCCCCCGGCCCGTACCCGAGCGTCGAGCTGAGGGGTACAACCCCGGGGTCTGGCCACTTTCGGTGCCCCAGGGGGCTTCGGGGTGCACAGGTCCCGGCAGTGTGTATGCGTGAGCACGCCCTCTGTGCGTGCTGCCCGCACCTTCACCTTTTGCATTCGGGGTTCCGCGGCACCCCCCCCCCCCCGCGTATGCAGAAGTGCACAGCGCAGGGGTGGACAGGCAGGCTTCTTAGACAACGCCTCCCTGCGCCTCAGTTTCCCCACCTGTAGAATGTAGGGCACAAAGACCCAGAAAGCGAGTTACCGCTGGCACCCTGGACCATAAAGTCCCTAGCCCCACCGGGGTACCTGCTCCGGTGCCTGGAACCTGGGAGTGAAGCCCAGACCCTCCCCTTGGCACGCTGGCTCCTGTCGGATGGCGGCTTTCTGAAAGCGACCTGCACTGCACCCCTGTAAGCCACTTCCAACGATCCGGCCTCTTGCAGGGATGGATCCGTCTGTCCGCCCAGGGCATCCGGTTCCTACATAAGGACCTGTCACCCTCACGAGGATGCACAAGAGATCGAACTAGCATGGAGATCCAGACTAGGGTACCTGACGGGGATGGGGTGGGCATCACCCTGCAGTCCACCGTGGAGGTGTCGAACTCTTCTCCCATCTGGCTCCGCATCCTACTGCGATGCTAAGCTGCTGTCTGGCTCTTCACCCAGCCTCTCTCCCTTGCACCTCCCGAGGACACCCCTGCACTCTGCTGCATCCCTTCCCTGCAGGGAACAGTGTTCCCTCCTCTTGGACTGGAATCCATGCTTTGGCTCTTGGGGAGAGCCTCTCCCCTGCACCTCCTCCTCCATCCCTTTCCCCTCTGCCCATCTGGCTTCACCCCTTCTTGGTGTCCCCTGAAGTCCTCCAAGCCCCATGGCACCCTATCTGCTGAGTCTAAGTGGCCACACATCCTGCCTTTGTTTCTGCCTTGATCTTGAACTTTCATGAATCTGCGTTTAAATTAAGCTTGGCTTCCTTCTGGTCCTCTGAGGGGCCCTCCAAAGAGCTCCCAGCTTGTTTCCCCTGACATGGACCATGAAGAGCTCTGCTCCCAGGGACCCCAAAGGAAGGCTGTAGTGCATCCTACACAGATAGGGAAACTGGACCCAGAGTAGGGCAGGGAGCAAGCCCAAGTTACCAGGGTTCTGGGAGCCCTAGCTGTGTCAGGGCCTGGCTGAGCCTACCCTGTCCTCTAGGTTGGCATCCTCGGCTGAGCATGGTAGCAGCCTATGGCCTTCATTTCTGTTTCCTCACCTGGCATCTGGTGCAGCCTGAAGAGCCAGCCACCTCAGGCACCCACGACCCACCTCATGACCAAGTGACCCAGCCCTGGCCCAGCCATCTGATGGGGAACGCAGGCCAGGTGATCTGAGAACACTCCACCACGAGGGCCTTTGTACAGTTGACTAAGTGACTGGAGACCTGTAGTGATGGCCTGCCAGGCATGAGCGGCCCCTGAGGTCACCTGTGAGTCTGGGATATAGAGATTGGCAAGCCCAGAGTCCATCAAGTGGGGTCACTCCACCCCATGGGGCCTCTGGAGCCCCCCGAAGACAGGTGACTGCCCAGATCCCACCAGGAATGGCCATGGCCGGAGCAGAGGGCTTCCAGTACCGGGCTCTGTACCCATTCCGCCGGGAGCGGCCTGACGACCTGGAGCTACTGCCGGGAGACTTGCTGGTGGTGAGCCGTGCAGCCCTACAGGCGCTGGGCGTGGCAGATGGTGGGGAGCGTTGCCCGCACAACGTGGGCTGGATGCCCGGCTTCAATGAGCGCACCCGGCAGCGGGGGGACTTCCCCGGGACATATGTGGAGTTCCTGGGGCCTGTGGCTCTGGCTCGACCAGGCCCAAGGCCCCGAGGCCCCCGTCCACTGCCTGCTAGACCCCTGGATGGGTCCTCCGAGTCAGGTGAGCAGATGACTTGGAAAGGGAAGGTCCTCTTGGACCCTCAGTCTCTTCTCAGTGAATGGACAGGAAGACTGTGGGGTTATTTATGGGCTGCCTGTATGGGAAGACTGTTGTGTGGGTTGAACTCTGCCTGGGACACAGGGCCTGGGTCAGCTACTTGTTCAGGAAGTGAGAACTTCTCACCTCAGTAACAACTGTGGAGTTGCTGAGGGTGGAGGGCCCCCAGGGCAGCATGCACAGCGAATGCCCTGAGGCAGAAGCCAGCAGGTTTCAGGGCCCAGCTAGCAGGCAGGCTGAATGAAGGGGAAGGCATGGAGCAGGACAGCTTGAGAGGCATGTGAGAGTGTTTGTTAGACCGATAGTTTCCTCCTGCAGGGTGCATAAGGGTTCTTTATGGATCCCTGCTTTCTAACCCTGTTTTTACCAAGCTTCAAAAACAAAGCTGAAAACCCTAAGAAGGTGGGATGCAGCAGGGTGGGGATCGAGGACCCCACAGGCCCCTGTGAAGATTCACAGACGATGAGGCAGGAGGATCACCCAGAGTTCCATGGCTACATGGCGAGACTCTGTATCCCGCAGGGTGGGTTCCCCAGTAAGGCCAGAACCTGGGAGGCTGGCTTGAGCCACAAGCCACGCAGCATCTGGCGTCCCAGGAGCCCAAGCCTGGCCAGGGAGAGCTGCAGGCGGCCCCATCCATCTGGGCTCCTGGCCAGAGCCTGTTGCTGCCCAGGGTAACAGGCGCCTCCCTCCCCTGCCTGGCCAGGGTCCAGCCACCACACACACCCAGCCTTACCCTCAAACCCTAAGGACTGTGACCAGCCCTCTGCAGCCTTAGTTTCCCCACCGGCAAGGGCAGCACCTCTAAGTCCTGGTGGGTTTAGAGCTTTAGCCTAAGATGCAGGCCTGGAACTGTACATCACCTGTATCTCTCAAAGTGAGGCCTTTGCCCTTCTGCAGCCCAGACACCGCCCACCTCCCTGTCTTGCATTTCAGTTTTGTTTTGTTTTTTTCCTCATTTTCCATGCAGCTGGGCCTGTCTCCAGCTGGAACTGCCTTCTGGCCCTCCACTCAGAGGCCCCGCAGGCCCTGGCTTGCTTCAGCTCCTTGCCGGGGCGTCCCTGCCGGGGGTCAGAGCCCTGCTGTTGGACACCTGTGTACAAAGGACTCCAGGGGGCTGCTGGAAGGGAGCTGAGCCTCGGTGGTGGGGGTTCAAAGCCAGGCTCTGTGGGAAACACCATCCCAGTGCCCAGAGGTCAAGGCAGAATTGCTTCTGGTTTGAGGTCAGCCTGGGCTACATAGCAAGACCCTGCCTCATAAAAGAGAAAAGGAAAAGATACTGCCACATGTCTGTTTCTTTTGAAGTTTGAAGCCCAGAGAGGATGAGCCCTGTACAGGGCTGCACAGGGTGCTATAGCAGAGCTGAAACCTGCTCTGCGTTTCACAGGCCATGTGGTGTCCAAAGACCAGGAGTTCAGGGTAGTGGAGGTGGCAGTCCTTGCTTGTCTCTGTTCCAGGGCTCCTCCAGATGTCATACAGCCCAGGACAGAAGCTGTCTCTGCAGCTATTTTGCTTGGGGAAACAGGGTCTTGCTGTATAGCCCAGACTGGCCTGGACCCAGCCATCCTTCTGCCTCCACCAGAGTGCTCTGATGATGGACATGTGCCATGAAGACCTGTGTTCACATGTGTTTTGGGGGCGGGCACTGTTTCACTCAAGTGTGTTAGATTCCCACTAACTCAGCACACAGCCTCTTCCTGGTCCTGTGGCCTCCAGGTGCCCAGCATTGGCACAAGCTGAGTCTAGTTGGCAGAGAGGGGCTGGGGACTAAGGTCCTATCCCTTCTTCACAGGCCTCATACTCCCAGACCTTCGGGAACAGTTCTCTCCTCCTGACCCAGCACCCCCCATCCTGGTGAAGCTGGCAGAGGCCATTGAGCAAACAGGTAAGGTCCACCTGGCTGTGGTCCCTGAGTTCTGCTCACCTCTGCCATCCCAGGGCCATCCTGGTCTCTGAGATGAGGGTGCACCTGGTTGTGGTGCTTCCAAGTTGACTGGGGGAAGGGGTGACTCCCAGGGACATGGAAAGGTGGGCTGGGTCCTGTGACCTCTGTTGAGGCAGTGTGTCCCTGTCCCCTCCAGGGCTGGACAGTGAGTGCTACTACAGGCCAGAACTGCCTGTGCCCAGGACAGGTGAGGGGCTCTGCTTGCTTCCCTCTGGAGGCTGGGTTGCCCTGGAAGGCTGGGCCTGGGTGGACTGACCCCCTCCCTACATGGTCTGATCCTCTCCGCACCTAGACTGACCACCCCCATGTGGACTGACCCCCCTCCCACGTGGACTTTTCTCCCTCCCATGTGGACTGACCCTCCCACACCCACACCTGCAGACTGGTCCCTGAGTGATGTGGAGCACTGGGAGCCTGTGGCCTTGGCAGACGCTGTGAAGGGCTTCCTGCTGGCCTTACCTACGGCCCTGGTGACCCCTGAGGCTGTGGCGGAGGCACATCGGGCACTGCGGGGTGAGATTAGGAGGAGCTGGGTGAGGAGTGGACAGGGCAGTGGGTGGGTGGTCACCGGCGTGGCCAACCAGCCCCATATGTCTGTGTGCCTGCAGAAGCTGCTGGGCCCGTGGGACTGGTGCTGGAACCCCCAACGCTGCCGCTGCACCCGGCACTGACGCTGCGGTTCCTGCTGCAGCACCTGGGCCGCCTGGTGCGGAGAGCGCCCGCCCCTGGGCCTGCTGTTCATGCACTGGCTCTAGCCTTCGGGCCTCTGCTACTGCGCGCCCTGCCACCAGGGGCCGCTGAGGGGTGAGCGGGGCAGGGCCTGTGACGGAGGGAAACGGGGCGGGGCTGTGGGAGAGGAAAGGCCTGCCCCCCTGCGGAGCTGGAGCATGGTCAGAGTCCACTGGATGTTGCCGCAGGAGAGAAAGTAAGGGGCGGGGCTTCAGGGGGCGGGACCCCAGATGAGGGCGGGGCTGAGCCAGTACAAAGTAGGGTGTGTTTTCTTTTGTGTTTTGAGGAAGGGTCTCCCTGTAGCCCCAGGTGGCCTGGAACTCGATACATAGACCAGACTGGCCTGGAACTCACAGAGATCCACCTGCCTCTGCCTGCCGAGTGCTGGGACTAAAGCGGGGAGGAGGGGCAGGGTTTTGTTTTTTGTGGGGGTTTTTTTTTGTCTTTTTTTGAAGCAGGGTCTCCCTGTGGCCCCAGCTGTTCTGGAACTCACTATGTAGACCAGGCTGGCCTTGAACTCACAGACATCCGCCTGCCTCTGCCTCCCAAGTGCTGGGACTGCAGGTGTGTGCCACCATGCCCGGTTTGTTTTGTCTTTTGAGACAGGGTCTCCCTGTAGTCCCAGCCGGCCTGGAACTCACTTCGTAGACCAGGCTGGCCTCGAACTCACAGAGATTTGCCTGCCTCTGCCTCCTGAGTGCTGGATTAAAGACGTGCACAGGGGCAGGTTTTAAGATGGATGCTGCCCTGGGTGGGCAGGATTGAGCCCAAGGAAGAGGGATGGGGCTCTTCTGGTGGGTGTGGTCACAGTTTAGTGAATGGGGTCAGGGGCCTTAGAGGGAGGGATGAGACTTTAAGGTGGGCTGGTCAGGAAAGATTCCTTGGTGGGGTGTGGTTTTTAAGGTGAGCATTGCTGCATCTTAGTAGGCTTGGCCACAGCTGAGGGGCAGCACAAAGGGGGTGTGAAGGATGGCAACTGAGCTGAATGGTAATGGTCTGTTTAGCATGTGGGGACCAGGGCTACAGGGTCTGGACACCAAGATGAGGAGGTGCTCAGATCTGAGGGTTGCAAGGCTAGTTCCCACACATTCTACCCATGCCACCCAGATATTACATCACTTTTTTCTCATATTATGAGCACAGAGTGCTTGCTGTATGTACCTCACCAGAACTCAGTCTCTCCAACACTGCTAACAGTGTCTTCTGCACCTCCTGCCCCGTGTCTGTGCGCATGGGATTGAGTGCATGGCACAGTGGCCCCTACTTGGCCTCGACCGCCCCCACTTTCCCCCAGGAGTGAGCCGAACCCTGACTTCCCTGAACTGCTGGTGGAGAAACTGCTACAAGAGCACGTGGATGAACAGGAGGCCGCGCCCCCAGGTGACAGCCCTCTTTCATTACTGACTTGAGTTTTCTTTGGTGGACAGCCCTCCAGGATCTGCTGGCAATAGTATACAGTTAGTGCTTAATGTGTGCTTATTTTTTTGCAGCAGTATGTGCTTGGTATTTAATGTGTGCTTGCTCTTTGTGGCAGTTTAATATGTGCTTGTTTTCTTTCCCAGCACTGCCACCTAAGCCCTCTAAGGCAAAGCCAACGCCCACAGGCCTGGCCAATGGAGGGAGCCCGCTGTCTCTACAGGATGCGGAGTGGTACTGGGGGGACATCTCCAGGTAGGCTCACTGGGGCAGAATGTGGTCCATATGTGTGCATATGGAGTGGGGAGCAGGCCTCCAGGTCAGTGACTCCGTGCTCCCTGTCCCACAGGGAAGAAGTCAATGAGAAGCTCCGGGACACACCCGATGGCACCTTCCTGGTCCGAGACGCATCCAGTAAGATCCATGGAGAGTACACACTCACACTCAGGTGACAGTCCCCATGGGCAGCCTGGGTTGGGTCTCGGGTCTCCTTTGGATGCTGACCAGTCCTCCCCACTGCAGGAAAGGTGGTAACAATAAATTGATTAAGGTCTTCCACCGTGATGGACACTACGGCTTCTCGGAGCCCCTCACCTTCGGCTCGGTGGTAGAGCTGATCTCCCACTATCGCCATGAGTCACTGGCACAGTATAACGCCAAGCTGGACACTCGCCTCCTCTACCCCGTGTCCAAGTACCAGCAGGTCCGAATTGCATCCATGCCCAGGTGGGCAGCATTGGGCTGGGCCTGGGTTTCCCAGGAACCCTCCTGATCCTTCAACCCCATGTCCCCAGGACCAGGTGGTGAAAGAGGACAGCGTGGAGGCAGTGGGGGCCCAGCTCAAAGTGTACCACCAGCAGTACCAGGACAAGAGCCGAGAGTACGACCAGCTGTACGAGGAGTACACGCGTACCTCCCAGGTGCCCAACTCCAGCAAGACAGCTCTGGGCTGCCCAGGTGTCCCCCATGGAGAGGGAGGGGCGGGCTCTGGGAGCAGGGGTTCTGAAGGCTGGACAGGAGCTGACTGAGCACTTCCAGTGGGGGGCACGAGCCAGATCAGCCTTCACTCCTCATGAGGGACTTTTGGGGAGGCACTGAGATCACCCCCACTTGCAGGAACTGCAGATGAAGCGCACAGCCATCGAAGCCTTCAATGAAACCATCAAGATCTTTGAAGAACAAGGCCAGACACAGGAGAAGTGCAGCAGGCAGTATCTGGACCGCTTCCGACGGGAGGGCAATGAGAAGGAGATGCAGAGGTGGGGGGAGCGGGGGGCAGGGGGCAGGGAGGAGCGAGGTGATGCAGGGGGGAGGGGAGAACGAGAGGGAGATGCGGGGGGGGGGGGCGGGAGGCAGGGGGG